AGGTTCACAGCTTTGTTTTTAATTTTCTACATGTGTCAACATAGAAGGTATTAATAAGACTATAAATTACATTTGCGTGGACCTTGCATATTCAAAAGGAAACCCTGGAAAGATAAATGAGAAAATTAGTGACAGTGGTTATTTATTAGAGTTAGAAACTGAGTAGGTGAAAAGACAGAGGTAGGAGAAAGAATGATTACTGTACACTTTCTAATAAAGTTTGAGGTAAGTTACTGCATTATCTAATTAATATACCCAATAGAGTAAATGAATGGTGCTGACACAGAAAGACAGAACTTGAAACACTCATGATATCATGGAACTGATATAACAACTTTGAACTCTCCCCCAAAAAGCACTATCTTAAAATGATTGACTACTCCTAGTTTAGTGGTTTTCATAGGAAAACCACTTAAACTATCAGGTCACAAGCACAGACTTCTTAGAAAAAGTATAAAAATAAATGTGCAGATACTGATTATTTAAAACCTTACAAAGGAAATGGGTTACTTGTATCCCATTATGCTAAATTCTTTTTTAGTCTGCTCAAATGCAAGCACAGTTTTTGCACAGAGTAAATTACAGTGCAAATCACTGAAATAATACAAAATTGGTGCAGCATTTCACTTAACCTTGTAACCAGGAGTGCTAGTCCAGAAGCCCAACCATGGGAGTTCCAACATGTTAGGTCTAGCCACTTGCTCCAATATGACAAATAAAAGGATGAGTAGTGGTGAAGGTCAGAGAAAGGCAGCTTGTTACACGACATGGACACATCACAGGAAGAGGGAAAGTAAGCACTTCAATCCATCTTCAAGGTACAAATATTAGCTTTAGGTTTAGATAGAGGAAGAATTGGGGAGGTGGCAGGGGGTAGGGGGTGGGGAGAAAGCTATGCACAATTAAACAGTCCCATACAAGCATGGCTTGACCATTATCTCAGGTTGGGTTCTACAGGAGTTCTGAAGTAGTTATTGATGTCATCACTTGAGGGAAGCAGTCTGGTTCCCATGAGATGATTACCCTGTTTGAGGGTATAACCTGTATAGGTAATTATCCTAGGTGGAGGGGAGGGTCTGTCCTATAAGACTCTGCTGTTTCTTTTCTTAAAGGTCATTTTGGTCCCTTGAAAGGCATTATATCATTTCTATTCTTCCTGGAACTCAAATTACAAGGTAACTGCTCAGAGCAAAGGCTAATGTAAAATGAAGGCAGGAAGCCCAAGCTTTTTATGATGCACCCAGCCAACTTTTGGGTCCAAGGAAGGAGCCAGTACTTTTTAGCAAAGTTATAACTTTATTCTATAAACACCACTCTGTGTCAAACATTTTTGGTAGATGCTTCAAAATGCTTCTCAAATTTACACAAAGTAGAATATTGTCCTTATTTTTTTTAGTATGGAAGATATAAAAACTTTAAAAAGTGGAAGGGGGTTGTCTTAGTCCCTTTGACTTCTATAACAAAATACTATAAACTGGCTGGTTTATAAACAACATAAATTGATTCCTCACAGTTCTGGAGGCTGAGAACGTGCAGGCATATATGGTGTCCAGTCAGGGCTTACTTTCTGTTTCTTAGATGGTACCTGCTAGCTACGTACTCACATTGTGGAAAGAGGAAGGCAGCTCTCTGTGATCTGTTTTATAAAGGCACTAATTCCATTCATGAGGGCTGAGGCCTCATAACCAAACCACCTCCCAAAGGCTCAACCTCCTAACATCACATTAATGATTAGGTTTCAACATACAAAAATTTTTTTGGAGGGAGGAGGAAACAAACATTCAGACCATTGCAGAGGCACAGGTAGAGAAACAGTTCTAGATTAAAGATACTAAGGTATTGTGATAAGTAAATGCAATGAATGATTCTTGAATGGATTCTGATTTAAAAAAAAAAACACAACCCCACTTGAAAGACATTATTAGAACACCTGAAGCATTTTTAATACATCCTAGATATTAGATACCACTAATACTTTTAAATAATATTAAAGCTCTTCAAGGTAATGATATAAGTTCTTAGGTCCTTTTTAAAGGCATTAATAACTGAGGCTTATAGGAGTGAAGCAGTATAATGTCTGTAATTTTCTTTCAATTGAGTAAGAAGTAAAGTTATTTGGTTGCTGGTGGCTCACTCTTGCAATACTGGCTACTTGGGAGGCTGAGGTCAGGATGATTATGGTTGGAAGCCAGACCAGACAAATAATTCACAAGACCCTCATCTTCAAACAAACCAGAGCAAGATGGACTGAAGCTGTGGCTGAAGTGGTAGAGCATCTGCTTTGCAAGCACGAAGCCCTGACTTCAAACACCAGTCCCACCAAAAAAAAAAAAGTAAATTCTCAACAATTACTGGATAAAAGTAAAGGACATATGGGTATTTATTTAACTTTTCTGTAGTTTTGAAAGTTTTTACAATAAAATTTGTGCAGAAATTTGTAGAAAACAATTTTGAGAATATTAAACTATTACCTGTAGGAGCAATTTCATTTTTTTGGTGGTGCTGTGACTTGAACTCAGGGCTTTGCACTTACTAGGCAGGTACTCTACCACTTAAGCCATGGTTGCTTTGGAAATAGGGTCTAACTTTTTGGTCAGGCTTGCCTTGACAGTGATCTTTTGCATTTTATACTTCCTGCCTTGACTAGGATGATAGGTTTGTACCACATTTTTTCTGTTGAGATAGGGTCTTGCAAACATTTTTGCCCAGGCTGGCCTAGAACCATATCCTCCTCAGCCTCTCGTATAGCCAGAATAATAGATGCATGTCACTGCACCCAGCTATTGGTTGAGATGGGGTCTCACAAACTTTTTGCCTGGGCTGGGAACTGTGATCCTTCTGATTTTAACCTCCCAAGTAGCTAGAATTTCAGACATGAACCACCAGCTGTTGGCTAAGAGCAATTTCATTTTAGCCAAGTTGTTAACATCTGGTGCTTTTCTTAATAATCATAATATCCTTAAAGTTCTTCAAATATATTTCTGTTTTATGCTAATGAATATTTGATCATCTATACATAAAATTTAGAAAATAAAAGCCCCATCACTCCCCAAAGGTATGGCATGTATTTACTTTTATTTCTAAGCACACATTTTGCTTTTCCTGCTAAGTCAGGGTTAAGCAAACTACTGTCTACAGACCAAAATTGGCCCACTATTTTTGTATGGCCTGAGTAAGAAATGGTTGGTGGTGGGGAAGAATCAAAAACATAAAATGTAGTGGCATGTGAAAATTATATGCAATTCAAGTCAATAACCATAATAAAATTTTATTGTGACAGAGCCATGTTCATTCATTTACATATTATCTGTGTCTGCTTTTGCCCTATAAAGGCAGAACCCCACTTAAGTAAAATGTTATTTTCCCAAAAAACATTTCACTTTTCCCATTAGAAGATATATATTACAAAAAGTACTTAAATTTTATTTTAAATAAAATAATTCCATTTTATCAATTTAAAAATGTGTGTAAGTTTATTTTCTTCCTTATGTATAGGACTGGAGCACAGCTCAGCAGTACAGAACTTGCCTAATATTTGTGAAGACTTAGGTTTGATCACCTGCATATACATATATACCTCCCCCCACACACACATACAAAGAATGTATATAATATCCTCAATATTGTCTCTTGGTCCACAAAGACTAAAATATTTTCTATTGGCCTTTTACAAGAAATGTTTGCCATCCCTGTTCCAGGCAATAGTTTTCCTAAGAAAAAATATATATTCTAAAATTCGTTTTGCCATGTGCTATTTGAAAGTAGTATTCTATCAATCAATTTATTAATATTTGAATTCTCCATCAAATACTAAATGAATTAATTTTAGTTATCTCAGGTAACATTCAAAGATCCATTTAATTGGCCTATCAAGTAGTTTATAGCTGCAAAGGAATTTTTTCTTTACTTATAATTTATAGTACTTACCTTACCCATTGATATTTTTAATATATATGTGATCACTCACATATTCCCACCTGTTGGTCAGGTCCTAAATTATCATGCTCTATGTCATGGCAATAATACTTATCCCCTTCAATCACATTACTAAAATTAGACCAAAGATTAGTCCTATTTAATTTCCTCATTTTACTGTTTAGAGTGCTAGCAAACAGGAAAACATCATTTCTAAATTTGAACTTAGATTGTCCATCAACTAACTGAGCAGGTCCACTTAAAGAGAATCATGGTGATTGCAATGTCTATGTATATTTTAAGATCAATCAAGGGAAATGATTTTGCATGGAATGTTTGCCACTTTAGAGAGTGAGACCTAAAGTGTTTTCGAAAAGTGGTTCCAAACTACTAAGTTTCTGAAGAAATGTCTCTAGATTGAGAGACCCTCTACAAGACTAAGTTGGGTGCTTCTGTGTGTTTCTGGGGTGGAAAAGTCTGAATTTAAGAATTAATATCATAATCTTCAGTTGGCTCAGAGACTGAGCTCAAAAGTAATTCTAGTCTTTGCTTCCAGTAAGAACAAATAGGTTGGAAAAATCACTAGCCAAAGACGTTTCTGCCATGAAAGTGGCCACAAGTCCTTTTTTTTTTTTTTGGTGGGGGGGAGTGGGCGGGAGGAACAGCATGGGTAACAGGCATCCATAGGTAATAGAATACATAAAGAAGCCGAAAGTGAGAATGGGTGAAACAAAGAGTGTGTGGCAAGCCATAAAAAGCAAAAATCCAAGAGAAGACGGTGCTTGAACAGTAGAGAGGGTCATTGATGTGAATTCTTCATCAGGTTAGTGAATGTGTATTCTGAAAACGGGTGCGCCCACTTCCCTTCACCCACTTCCAAAAAGCATGCTTCCTGTACCCTCCACCAAGGCCACGCAAGAATTTGGTCTTTGTCTTGCAATAACTGCGGAAGCAGAAACGGAAACGGCAGCGGAAGCGGAAGCCGTTCGCTGGGAACCGTTTCTAGTGCGCCTGCGCACTTGGGAACCGTCAACCCGCCTGCTCGTCTGTGGTAACCGCCTGCTTGACGATTTAAAGCACCGCTCATGGCCCCAGTATCTAGCACCGGCTGTTGCGAGAACACCTCCGGCTCTCGGAGACTGCGACGCAGCTCGTCCTCTGGGAGCCCGCCATCCACACGGAACAGATGCTCCCCTCGGGGTGAAGGTTCTCGACCTCACTCCTGCAGCCGCGATGGTCTCAGGCCTCAGTGGTATAGGGTGGGCTTTCGTACTTCTTGCCGGGTTAGCCGCTGTGGGTCTCGAGAGCGGCCCTCCGGGCTCCGCACCTATGCCTTTTCGGCTTCCTCCTCAATCCACTATAGCGGGTACCACCGCCACCAGCACCGCTATACCGGAGACCGAGAGTGGGTAGAAGATTATGAAAAGGAAAAAGAAGAGAGCTATCGGCAAAGGAGGCTGAAGGAGAGAGAGAGAATTGGGGAGTTGGGAGCCCCTGAGGTGTGGGGGTTGTCACCAAAGTTTCCCGAGCCAGATTCTGATGAACATACCCCAGTGGAAGATGAAACAGAGAATCAGAAGAGCAGCAGTTCAGATTCCACCTCTGAAGAAAAAAGAAAGGCCAGTCATTCAAAAAAGAAAAGGAAAAAGTCCTCCAAAAGAAAACATAGGAAGTATTTTGATGATGACACTAATTCAGATTGTGACACTAATTCTAGCTATGATGATAGTAAAAAGAGAGTCAAAAAAGCCAAGAAGAAAGAGAAGAAAAAGAAACACAGAGCCAAAAAGTACAAGAAAAAGAAGAATAAGAGAATTAAAAAAGAATCCAGTGACACAAGTTGTAAAGTTTCAGAAGGAGAGTTGCCAGAAGGTATCTGGATTGAACGGTCTAAGACTACAAACAGCATGGATTTAATAGGACCAGAAGCACCTATAATACGTACCTCTCAAGATGAGAAACCTTTGAATTATGGCCATGCTCTGCTCCCAGGTGAAGGTGCAGCTATGGCTGAGTATGTAAAAGCTGGAAAGCGTATCCCACGAAGAGGTGAAATTGGGTTGACAAGTGAAGAGATTGCTTCATTTGAGTGCTCAGGTTATGTCATGAGTGGTAGCAGGCATCGCAGAATGGAAGCTGTACGACTGCGTAAAGAGAATCAGATTTATAGTGCTGATGAGAAAAGAGCCCTTGCATCCTTTAACCAAGAAGAGAGGCGAAAGAGAGAGAATAAGATCCTCGCTAGTTTCCGAGAGATGGTATACAGAAAAACAAAAGGAAAAGATGACAAGTAAGGGTTTATTGTGCACCAGGACTTTTAACAACAGAAGTTGTATATGACCATAATAGTACTTAAAAGACTACACTGCTTTTGTACTTACTATGGTAGTAAGTCTCTCAGGAAAAAGCTGCTTTTGAGATTTGCAATTTATTTTTATTTTTTCATTTTAAAAATGTGTATGTGATTTAAAAAATATTCAAACATTGTAAAACGAGTTTGTAAAAGATACAGGGTGCTTTAGCCTTCCAAAGAGCAGAATAGGACCATCTAGACTATCAAGAGAAAGGAAAAAGAAAAAGAAAAAGAAGGAGAGGAGAGTTGTCAGAGTTCATGAAGAAGAGACCAGAGCAGGAAGTACTACGTGGACAGAACAGTTTACATCAAGAGACTGGCTCGCTAGTCTCTTGACAGGACTTTAGAGTAAAGTCCACTTATGGTCTACAATAAGGCTTTTGCTGTCATTTAATGATATCTGCCTGGTATCTCACCCTGAGACTTTAGTTCAGCTCTACCCAAACTGTCTCATCTCATTTGGATAACCCCCTTTTCAAGGCTCAAGATACTGGTAAGCCCCATAGGCTTCTAGAATTTGTCAGGACAGTGTGAGGTAGAAGGATACATTTGCCCCAGTGTGTCACACTGGGTGTTAACACTACCACACCAGCTTGCGGTTTTTCTCAGATGGGGAACATTAGTGAAAGCCATGCTATTACATCTGCATATTTCCATTTTTAGAAATAAACTATTTATACCATACTATACGTAGGGATTGACACTTTGCTTTTTTTCACTTAGTACATCTTGCAGATGTTGTATTTCACATATAAATCTCATTTTAAATGACTATAGTATTCCACTGACTGAAGTGTTACTGGACATGGGAGGTTATTTCAACTTAATGACAATGGAAATGAAATGAAACTAGAGATTAAGTTAGGTCAGGGAGATGAGACTGTGGTGCAACACTAATTAAAAGCCATCAGACTGTTTCTGCAGACAGAGGAAAGAGTCAAGCTTTTATTTCTTGTGCCGGGTTTATAAAAAGCAAGTTAGGACCTGTTGGTTTTTCATTAGCTGTGGGCACCAGTCTTGCAAGGTGTTTCTCTGTGCAAACATTTTGGCCTTGAGAAATGGGCAGTTTACTCTGGAAGCTGTTAACATTCCTTCTGATGACATCCCATCCTGATTAAACATCCTGGCCTTGTGATAAGGATGAGCTGCTGTTAAGAGAATGCATGAGAAGGGATGGCAGAAGACACACACTTTGCTATTAACTAATAAGTTTAAAGAACCTTGTTGTAGGATTTTTAACAGTAGTATTCCTTGTCTAGTTTAATTTTGCAGACGTTGAGGCAGACATCCAAGCTTTCTTGGCATACCTAGAGTTTGAGTCTGATAAGATTGCCTAACAGAGTGAGGGGGCAGGAAAGAATATATATTTTTTTAAATAGGTAAGAGGCTATGGCCTAAGGCAAGATTGTTTGGAGAAGTGAGGAGAAAGGAAAAATACACATCACATTTCTAATGGGTAACAGATTTTGAGCTGAGGCATTGGGTCTGCATCTGCCCTTTGTCCTTCATGGAGGTCCCTGTTTGTTTTAGAAGGACCATGTTTTATCAAATGTTTAGGATGTTCCCCACACAAAGTCCAGTCCTACCAGAAACAAAAAAAGATGTTCCCCATATTTTGCTATATTACACAGTACTGTAGTGAAAATCTTTGTGAATGTTTGACAATATAGCGTTAACATATGCATTTAAAACAGAATTATGGGGTCAAAAAGAATCCTTTGAGTCATCTAGAAATGGTCACCTTGAAGTGTAATTATCGGGTCAAGGGAAAAATATTTATTATATTTTAGGCACTATAGAAGGTACTGGGGATAAAACCATATGTTGACCTTGATCTTTGTCACTATAGAATTTTTACATTCTAACGGAAAGACAGACTTTTAAATGTTAATACATAATTACAAGTTGTAGTATGCTTATTAAGAAAATTAGGCTAGAAATGTAAGATAGACTTTTTTTGTTTTTCTTTCTTTTTTGCAAATAAGATAGACTTTCCTGATAATTGTCAGGGAAGTCTAAGAATGTCATATTTAAGCTTTGTTGTACTTTTAATTTTTAAGTAGATATTGCAACATTACCTTCTAATAAAATACTAAGATCCACCAGTTTATAGACCAACATCATCACTGATATGGTACTTTCAAAAAGCTTTTGTCTTTGTTATTTGGTAGGTGAAAATTGCTTTTCACTCTTTTAGCTTTAATTTAATTTTTTGTTAAGGTAGAGCATTTTTGTGTATTTATGGGTGTTTTAAAATCCTTTTATTTTATTGTGAACTGCTTTCATTATAACATTTGTCCATTATCCTATAGAGTTGATAGACTTTTTCTTACTGATCATAAAAAACTCTTCAAGTAGTAAAAAATTCTCTTTATCACATATCTTGCAAGTGTTTGTCTCCACTATTTGCCTTTTTACTTGGTCTTCTAGTAGATACTTGATCATATTGCCCTTTTCCTTAACAATTATCTTTGTCTTTCTCACTTGGGAAAAAGATGAGCTAAGAAACTATAACTTCTAAGTAAGATAAGAAAGGTGGGCCTCCTTTCATAAAAAAAAATAGATGCAATAAATAGTATATTTATCAGAATATTCTCAACAGTTCTTTTGTTGTAGTTAAGCTTCACTTGCCATTTAATGTTTCCATTCAAGAAGGACTGGTGGCTCATGCCTGTAATCTTTGTTACTCAAAAGGCAGAAATCAGGAGGATTGCAGTTCAAAGTCCAGCCCAGGAAAATAGTTCTCAGGACCCTATGTCGAAAACCCATCACACAAAAGGGCTGGTGGTGTGGCTCAAGGTGTAGGCCTCCAGTACAAACCCCAGTACTGAAACAAACAAACAAACAAAAGGACCTGGCCAGTAAATCTTCCTTAAAAGAGATATTGAGATTTGTGATTTAATTGCATATCACTTTAGCACCTCCCCTCCCCCTGCCCACCCTGGAACTTAAAAACAAAAGAACTTTCCCTTTAAAGTAGTTTTGCTTAACAAAAAGAAAAAAAAAGTACTTTTACTCAGAATAAGTGATTTATGATTTGTGGAGTAGAAGCAAAACAGCATAAAAAAAAATTTGCGTTGTTTCAAGAAACCATCAGAATCACTTCATTATTAAACTCTGCTGAAGCAGGAAGTTGAGCAAACTAATGACACTACTGCTGATTAATTTATAATTGTAAATTTTATGAAATACCATTAATTTTCTTATGGACCATTATTTTATGACTTCATAGAATTATCTAAAATAATATTTAAAAAATAACTCCTCCAGTATAAGGAGCTCTAAAATGTGTATTTTATGGCAATTTTTGAAACTTCTATAGCATAAGTGAAGGAATTTCTGACCCTTAGCTATCAGCAGCTCAGTGAACAAAAAATTATGATTTGGCAAAATTCCTGTCTTTTAATTCTTAGTCTGTGATAGATTTCTGTCACTGTGAAAAAAAATACATGAGGAAAACAACTTCAAGAGAGGAAATACTTATTTTGGCTCACAGTTTCAGAAATTTCAGACCATGATTGATTGGCCCTGTCACTTTAAGCTTATGGAAGGACAGAACATCATGGCGGTAAGCATATGATGGATGACTTCGGTTCACCTCATGGCAGCAGGGAAGCAAAAGAATGAAGGAGGGGCTGGAGTCCCAATATCCTCTTAAAGGTACACCTCCAATGAACTAATTTCCTTCCTTTATGCCCTGCCTCCTAAAAACTTCAACACATTTCAATAGGGCTACAAGCTGGCAATCACATCTTCAATACATGAGCCTCTGGGGGAAATTTAATATCCATACCATAATATTGCCCACAAGTTCAGTTATATTTTTATGGAGATACTTCTAAGACTTCACCATAAAATATAAAGAAAGCTTTTAGGTTGGGATGTGCTTATTTTTGCCTTATAAAAGAAGTACCCACCCATTCCTATTTTATTAGGAATATCTCCTTTTAATTAGAAATGCATGTTGAGTTTTATTTAATGACTTTTTAGCATTTGTGAAAACCATATAACTTTTGATTTGTTTGTTTGGGTGGTACTGGGGATTGAACTCAGGGCCTCATGATTGCTAGGCAGGCACTCTGCCACTTGAGCCACCCCACTAGCCAAAGACCATATGATTTTTGTTAAACCATTAATATTATATTAATATGATGACTTTAAAAGTTATTGACTTCCTCAGCTGGGGACTTGGCTTAAGTGGAAGAGCACCTTCCTAGCAAGCAAAAGGACATGAGTTTAAACCTCATTACTACCACCAAAACAAAAAACAACAACAAAAAAAAAAACCTAACATAGTTATAGACTTCATAATATCTAACTATGGGTTAAATTTATACATTCATTTGTAGGTTTTCAATTGTTTAGAACAATTACTAGGCACATAACTTTCTACTTCAAAATTCAGAGTAATGGAAGAAATTTTGCTGTACAGGTAGAAGTAAAAGAGCAGAAAGCATCATCACATAAAGATAAGTAAAAATCTTATGCGACAGCATGTGGCACAGCTTGCAGTGTAATAGTGCTTCCACTGATGATATGGAGAAACAAGCTCGGAATATCCAGTGAATGTACCTGGTGGAAGCAGAAAAATCACTACAGGTTGCAAAAACAAGGATAATCCTGGAAAATGAAAATCTCAAATTTCAATGATTAGCAATCAGTAGTCTGAGCTGGTAAAATGATATTTTTATTTATTCTCACTTTATCTACCCCTTCCACAATTTACACACAGAATAATGAAATTTAAAATGTGTATTCCTTGCTAATCACAGTGTGCATTTGTAGTCCCAGCTACTCAGGCGGCTGAGGTGGCAGGATAACTTGTATACAGGAATTCAAGACCAGCCTGGGGAACATAGTAAGACCCCGTCTCAAAAAAACAACAAAAAGCATGGGGTGGGATATAGCTCAGAGGTTAAGTGTTTGCTTAGCATGTACAATGCCCTGGGTTTGATCCCCAGTCTGAAAAAAAAATTGCACACCTTGAATTAAAAAAAAACAAAACCTCGTCTTTGTTAAACTGCTAAAACAAAACAAAACAAAACAAAAACACTCTGATTTGTTTAACCATTTAAGGGTTTGATTTTCACAGAATATCCATGCAATGCCAGTGATCTCAGTCTTGGTAGTAACAGATTTAAGAAGCTAGGGAGTTTGAGAGAGAGATAGAGAGTAAATAAATTAAGATATATTTGCTTCCTTTTTTAAATTAAGATTTTTTTATGTTTGTGTCTAATAAAAGTTTTGAGAGAAGCCCATCTTTATGGCTAAACAATTAAAGCAAATGTATGAGTTTTCCCCTCAAAAAAAGAAGTAACTTCTATTTATATTGGGTGTATACGTTATCCTCGCAAAAAATTTTAATTTAAATATATTTAATGTTTACTTTTAAAAGGTATTTTCAAGTTTCTGCACTCAAAGAGAAAAAGACAACTCTTCTCATTATAAAGTGCTTGGGGTTTTTTTTCATGTCATAGTACAGTGGTTCCTGTGATATTTAATAATGTCAAATTCTATCAGCTGATCAATTAAATCAAAAAGTTTGTTCAGATTTTTTAAGGATTTATTTTATTCAAAGATTATAAAAACACAGTTTGTGATAAGATGGGCAGGAGAGGGACTATCTCTATTCTCTACAATTTATTTTGGTAAGTTGATATCTGATCCTCTTTTTCTCCCTGAAACCTACATTAATTACAAGTAAAAATATTTCTGATTATTCTCTTCCATATCAATAGACTTAAATTTTTATTACTTTAAACCTTTCAATTCAAATATTTCCATGGTTCAATTAAAATTTCAAAATACTTTTAAGGCAGGATAGATTAAGGAAAATGAGGCATAGGAAACAGCAGCCAGGAATTTAGAGATAAACACTGTATTAATGAATACTTCATTAAAAGCACACAGGCCCTATTTGCTTTAAGGCTTACACTCCTTCAACAAAGTGCAACATTTAGGTGAAAGAAAAGGACAGAGGGAGAGAGTATGTGTGTGTGAGAGAGAGAGAGAAAGAGAGAGAGAGAGAGAGAAGGAAGAAGGGAGGGAGGGAGAAAGAGAGAAAGAAAGAAAGAGGAGAGAGAGAGGAGTGAAGGAAGGAAAGGAGGAAGGAGGGGAGGGAGCGAGGGAGGAAAAAAAGGGAAAGGAATGGGAGCAGCTCCCTCCCTCTGACCTTGCCTGCTTGCCCAAATCATTAATACACTCCTGGAACTGAACAAAGATATCTTAAAAAAGATACTTAGCCTGCGAAAAGATAGAGAAGTAATTTTAAAAAACACTATGAAGATAGCTCATTTGATCTCAAAAGTGTTTGCAAAGGAAAATATTTATCTCAAGCATGGACACCTGTCTTAAAGGGACTATCTGGCAGAACCAATTCTTTGTTTAAGGAGATGCTTAATCATCCATGTCATTATGTCCCCAAATATAGTGAACAGACCAACACTGCAATCCCTGGAATAATGGAATATACCAGTGTTCAGAACAAAGGGAAGTACTCATCCCAGAGTAAATTAGGGTCAAACCCCTAACTTACTTTTTCACCATAAAGACCCTTGATGTTACAGCATTCATTACACCTGTTATGAGATGTGCCTACACTCATCTCTGGGTTGTGTACTATCTATCTTTCCTTTGCTTTACTAATAAACTTTCTTGGTCTCTACCTTGGTGTGTCCTTAAGTTCTTTTTTGCGACATCACCCTTGGTACCCCAAGAGTCAACTGGAATTCTTCTTCATTTTTGGAGACCTCCTCCCTGGAACACCACCAGTTCCAGTAACACTTTGTGGGGGTTTTTTTGTTCGTTTTGTTTTGTTTTTTGGTAGTACTGGAGTTTGAACTCAGGCCCTAACACTTGCTAGGGAGGTGCTTTACCCCTTGAGCCATTCCACCAGCCCTCCAGTAACACTCTGACACTTATTTTTGTCTGTCCTGTGTTTGGTGATTTTTTTTAATTGGGAAGAAATGAAATGATATCTGAAATTTAGTCCTCTGGACTTGATACTAATCCACAAATACCAAGAGCAGGGTTTTGGTGAAAAGGAAGTAAAGGCTTATTAATTTTGCAAGGCAAAATGAGAACTGCAATAAGGTTCTGCCTCAAAAGCTGCAGTCCTACTCCTAAGGGCAGAAGACCTGTTTTAAAGAGAAAGCCCAGGAGTATGGGCTTCCAGGTATACTTGATGAGGCATGACTTTGGACCAGATGATAACCTTGGTTCTGCTTATTTACTGATGTACTGCGTTAGTCTCGGAAGATGGAGCTGTATCTCTTGCTGTCCTAAGTGTTCCTTCACTCAGTGAGGTAAGGTGAGGAGCATGATGATCTTGCCTGGAGCTGAAGAGATGCTCTTGAGTTCCCTAAAATGCTGTCCTAAATGCTCCTTCACTCAGCAAGATAACATGGGACCTTGCCTGGAGTTGAAGAAACTTTCTTGAGTTCCCTAGAATGGGGGGATGGTAGAGGGGAGACAAAAAAGCTGAAAAAAATGTTTAAAACTTTAAAAACTTGACTAATCGAAAGAGAGTCAGTACGTTATTGGGCTAAAACTACAGTTGTGAGCACGTTTATGTGCCTGGTCACATTACAAAAGTATGTGATTGGTTTATTTATGTGGGTGAGCTATTAGTGGTAACACTCAACTGAGCTGGCCTATTTTCACCCAAATATAATAAATTTCCGCTTTCAAATGAAAGCAGTAGCAGTGAGCCAACAAGCTCACACTCTCAAGCCACCCATCCTGGAGGACAAAGCCTGACACCATAGAGTCGTGGTCCTCCAGCGGCCCTAGAGTGGAGGCGACAGCGCGCGGGGTGCCAGAGCTGACACTACGAAAAGCTAAGACGCAGTTTGGCTGCTGCAAAGGGTCTTGGCCAGGTGAGTGGTGTTTGGGCCCCAGCTGGGACAGAGCTGAGGCTATGGGGCTTGGGAGTGGCGGCTTCCTGGCTGGTGTAGAGAGGCGTTCCGGATCTTGGAGTTGTGAGGATGGAGGCGGGGTACCGGGCGGGAGGGGTCAGCCCGGGGCCTGTGAAAGGGATGAAGCCGAGGACCTGGTTAACCTGCACAGCCTTCTGCTGCATATTGGCCTTCCGTTGAGCGCAAATAGGTTTTAAAGGTAGGTCTCACTGAGAAGGTATTGTTTGAGCAGAAATCTGAAGGAGGCGAGATTTCTGGGTAGGGAGACAGCAAATGCAAAGGCCCGAAAGCTGGAGCTTGTTCATCATATTTGAGGAAAAACAGGGAGACCAGAGCGATTGCAGTGCAGTGAATAAGGGTGACTTTGGAGGGACTGATAACAGAGATTAGACATATAGGAAAAGTGGACAGTGTATTGTGTAAGGAATTTGATCTTTTCTTGGTGTTTTTGCAGGAGTTTTAAGTGGAAGAGAGACATGATCAGACTTGAAATGGCTTATGCTTTAAAGCATCTCTATCTGGGAACTCATGATGAGAGTAGACTGTAGGGGGGCAAAGATGAAAGCCAGAATACTTAAAAACTAGGAGTAATTTTTAAAACTTGCAAGTAATTTAGGTGGGAGATAATAGTCTTGTGTCAGTATTGTGGCAGGTGTGGTTACTAGTAGTCATATTATTGATCTGCTTTGAAAGTAGACCCTCCAATATTTGCTACTGGAGCAGGTGTAGGCTGTAAAATAAGAGAGAGGACAAAAATAAAACCAAGGTTTTGGGACTGTGGATACAAAAGTGGTTAGACTGAAGATCTGAGGTTGCTTTGAAAGCTGTGTAAACTCTTCCACACTCCATGTCTCAAGTTCCCTTCTTTGTATGATAAGGTTAAAGAGGATGATTCTTTATAGGTTTATGCGAGTATTAAGTGAATTAATGTAAAGCAGGTAGAACAGCTGTGCTGACTTTTTATTATGTCAACATAATAAACATTTATGAGACATGAAGTATGAGTGGGCATTAACAATAAGAAAAGTAAAAGGATTTTATGGGTTGGAGATTATATATGAGAATCTAAGAGCAAGAAAGAGTAATACCAAGTTTGAGGAGCTGAAAGTAGTTCACTGGATCATAAAAAAAAGTATAAACGTTTTGAACTTGATCTTAAGGGTCATGATGGGCCACTGTCTATAACAGGCACAGTAGATACATAATATTTCATAGAAAGATCACTGATGGCAATGCAGAAAACAGATTGGTATCAAAAAGACCAGTTGCAGTAGTCTGAGTAGGAGAAGATGGTGGCAAAGGGGATAAGGAGAAACGGGTGGCTATTTTAAGCAATAAAATCAGTAGAAGTTGACTAATCAGATACATTAGTTAAGAAAAGAGGGAATGGTCAGTTTTCTGACTTAAATAGCCAGGTAAATGGAGTGTTCCTTAAAGGCAGGTTGTTAAATTGATATATTTTGTGTTCATATATTTAATCACATCTTAGAAATAAGCTACCACTAATTCATCATATAATATATACCTATATTAGTCAGGGTTCACTAGAGAATTAGAACCAATATCTCTACTGATTAATCAGTAGACAAGTAGATATCTAGAAAGAGGTTTGTTCTAAGGAATTGGCTTGTGATTATGGGAGCCAGAAAGTCTCGAGATCTTCAGGGTGAGTCAATAAGCTAGAGACCCAGGAGAGCAAATGGCTTAGTTCTAGTCCAAGCAAAAGTCCTAGATCCAGGGTGACTGATGGTGTAGTTCTAGTGTGAAGGCCAGCAGGCTTAAGACCTGGGAAGAGCTGACATTTCATTCCATTCTGAAGGCAGGGAAAAGCTGATATTTGAGTTTGAAGGCTGTAAGACAGAGAGTATTCTCTCTTATTTGGGAGAAAGTCAGCCTTTTTGTTCTAGATAGATCTTCAGCTGACTGGATGAGGCCCAGTCATTATGGAGAACAATCTGATTTACTGAGTCTATAGTCTACCAATTTAAACATTAGTCTCAGCCAAAAACACAGTTACAGAAACAGTCAATAATGTTTGACCAAATATCTGGGTACCCTGTGACCCAGAGTTGAAATGTAAATTAATCACCACAATACCAAACTTTAATTTTTTAGCTAATAATCATCACTTTCCTGGACCTTTTCATTTCCATTAAGAATACAGCAGTAAACAGGTCATAGTAATGTGTGTCTCTAGTCCCAGCTCCTTAGGAGGCTGATGTAGGAGTATTGCTTGAGCCCAGGAGTTTGAGGCCAGCCTAGGCTGGCAAGACCATGTCTCAAAAATAGGAATACTAGCATTTGGCTTTTAAAATTTAAAGTCATTTTGTTTGTTTGGTTGGTTGGTTGTTGATTTGATTTTGGGATAGAGTCTCAGTGTGTAACCCAGGCTGGCCTCAAAGTCAACATTCTTCTGCCTCTACTTCCCAAGTGTGGGAATTACAGGTATGCACCACTACTCCTGGTTAGGAGCTGTCATTTATTCTCAGCAGTTAAGAGAGTCAGGCACATAGAAAACAATCAGTAGATGAGTTATGAATATTCTTATTCTCTTAGTTAATTCTGATAGTGACTTAAAGAATATTTAAGTGGTTTTATTTTCTTTGTATCTTCCCCCTGCACCACTCAATATTTTGAGAGTTTTTAAATCTTTCAGAAAAATTGAATAGTACATTTAATACCTTCATGTGTCAGCAGTTGTCAGTTTCTTGCTACATTTGTGCATGCTCACTCTTTATACAGTTTCCCCCTAAACATTTGAAAGTAAGTTTCAGCATGCATCTTCTGAAAATGACGATATTCCTTTTTATAACACAAACTGCTATCTCATCTGAGAAAATGCTATATCAAGGGTTAGTATCCATTTTCTATAATGGGACAGATAGTGAACATTCTCAGCTTTGCAAGTGATCTGATCTCATGGCACCTACTCACCCCTGCCACTGTAGTAGGAAGAAATGTGCCTAGACAGATGAGTATAGCTGTGCTGCAGTAAAGGAATACAAAGACAAGCTTTGAGCTCTATTAGGTCTTCTGGGCTATAGTTTGTCTACCCTATTCTGATACATCATTCATATTCAGATTTCTAAAGTCTTTTTTTTTTTTTTGTGGTACCGAGGCTTGAACTCAGGGCCTCACATTTGTGAGGCAGGATCTCTACCACTTGAGCCCTATTTTGCGTTGGATATTTTTGAGACAGGGTCTTGTGAACTATTTGCTTAGATTGGCCTGGAACCACAGTCCTCCTGATCTCTTGTCTCCTGAGTAGCTAGGATTACAGGTATAAACCACCTGTAGATTTCTGAAGTCTTCAAAAAAATTTTTTTTAAATGTAAGAGCCAAATTTCACATAATGCATTTACTTGTGTCACCTTAACATAGAACAACCTCCCAACATCTGCTTTTTAATTTGGGGAAATTGTTTGAGTCCATGCCTGTTGTAGATGAGCTGTATTGTAGTTTTATCTGAGTTTTTTTTCATTGAATTCATGGTAAATGCTTTTAGTAAAAGTGCAATACAGATGATAAGGCACATGATGCCAGTTGCCTTACTGTTGGTGTGTTGCTAAGTTAGATAATTTGGTCAAGCGTGTGACTGCCACATGCTTCATGTTTCCCTGTGTACTAATAAGCAATAAGCAATGTAGTTCTCTGAGACTGTGAGAATGTCTGTTCTCTCACTCTTTACCCAGCAGTTTTAGCAAACATTTAATGGCTCTTGACTGAATCACTTATTTTGAGGGCTGCCAAATAGTAATTTTTAAATCTATTATTCTTGCTACAATAGTTGGCAGTATATACAAGAGTTTTCTCGTTTTGTTTGTCCATTTAGGAATGGCTGTTTCTGAGAAAAACAAATGGGTAGTAGGAAACATAAAGCAAAAAAGGATTATAGCCATCAATATTACTATTACTAGTAATATAACTGTTTCTGCGATTCTTGTTACTGTATTTTCAGGAGTATCCTGAAGATACAGTTAAAAGAAAGTTTTCCAAAGCAAAGACAGCAATTTGAAGCTGGGGATGGCAGCAGCATTGGTGAGTGCTCATTCGCTGATTCCACTGAATCTGAAGAGGGAGGCAATAAAGGAGGATCACTATATTACCAGAGTCCTATGCCACACGTCTGACTCTGAGGTCCCAACAGACCAGATTTGGCCAACTGCCATCTCGAGAGTCCAATCAGAGATGAGTAATGGTAAAACAAGAAGGGAATTTATTTTTCAGTGTGACCACACTGGGAGAAAACAGGAGAACCAATGTCCTAAGCCCTATCTCAGGGATTAGACAAGAGTTTCAGATTATCTAGGGAAAAGACAAAAACTGAAGGTGAAGGAGACCAGAAGTATGCATAGTCATAGTCAAGCAGTCTAGACAAACTGTTCTGGTTGATCATTATCTCATGTTTGGTTCTGAGAGGTCCTGCTGGCTCCATGAAAATCATTATTTAAGGGAGCAACTCAGTTCCCTTCACCTCTGCTTGGGAAGAGGTTCCCATCATGGAGTGATCTGCCTGCAAGGCTTGCTGTTCCTGGAATCATGAAACTGTCTTAAGCTACTCTTAACTTTTCTTTAGCCTTGAAGGGGGAGGAGGAAAGGTTTAGTAAATTTAGGGCCACTTGGCCTTGTATTGCCAATGTTTAGACAAGCACTCCTTAAATGACTAACAGGTCTGTGATAGAGTTGACTCTTAAGTTTAAGGTAGTGAAGGAGATAGCTGCAGGTCCAAGTGAAGAGCTAGTGCTTTTAGCAAAAACAGCCTTAATTCCCTGTTATAACTACTCTATTTGGGAACATGAATTCAAACTGCAAGGAAACAGCGAAGACTTTGGACAGGAGCCATTGTGCAAACAATTCAGGCAGTTGCGCTATGAAGAAACTGCAGGACCTCGAGAGGCTTTGAGTCAACTCCAGGAACTCTGCTGACAGTGGCTGCAACCTGAGACCCACACAAAGGAGCAGATACTGGAGCTGCTGGTACTAGAGCAGTTTCTTACTATCCCGCCTGAGGAGCTCCAGGCCCAGGTGCAGAACTGTCAACCACAGAGTGGGGAGGAGGTGGTGGTTGTACTAGAGGATTTGCAGCTGAAACATGGAGAAGCAGGACAATAGGACATAAGGGTCAAATCTGTGCTCTTTTGCAGGAAAGCAGGAGTTACAACTTGTGGCCAGACAGGTGGACATGAGTGCAGCAGCGGGCAAAGAAATGCTAGGCTTTGGTTCAATTTCTTATAAGTCTGGGTTTTTATCTTTATAGGTTGTACATCAACCTTATCTGTCATCTGCTGAGATAAAACAGAATGTACTCCAGATTCCTCATCCCATTTTCTTGTCCCTGTAAGGTTTCCCTTTGTTCTCTTTTCTAACATTGATGTATTTTTTTCTGAATTACAGTTTCCTAAATCCACATGTATCTGATTGTCTCTAGGACCCAGATCAGGGAAAGAAACAAAAACTGCTAGTGGAAGAGACAGTCCCTCTCAAAGCAGTGCAGGAGCAGCAGGTCCTGCCTGACTGTGAAGTTCAGAAGCCTGAGAAAGAGAAGGGTAAGAACTGGGTATTATTCCTGCATGTGAGATGGAATAAGCTATGCACATCCCTCTGCCTTAGCACCCTTGATATTTTGTGTTTTGTTTATGAGGCATGTTTATTGAGGTATGATTTATATCAATTAAGATTGATTTTTTTTTTGTAACTGTACCAGTCTTTGAGTCTTCACAAATGTGAAATAAGTAAGGTCATCTAATCAGCACCATTATCAAGAGATAAAATATATCCATCACTCTAAACAATTTTTGAACAAAATACCAAGGAAAGGTAAATCTGGACCTTCACCTTGCTCTTCTCTCTATAGTAGGGATGAATTTAAAAAGTAGTACTGGTTTCTCACCCAAGGCAAAGAATCTCAGCCACATGTCTCATTACTCACTTTTTCATATCTCCTTCAAATTATCGTAAATGGCATCTTTTATTTCTAAATGTCATCTTGTATTTTTTTTATGTTTTGTCACTAAAACTTTCTGTTCCTTACATTTTTTTTCTTTTCTTTCTAGTCTGAGTCTGATATTCTCTCATTCTCTCTCTCTCTCTCATTATTTGGTACTTCCATTGAAGTTAAGTTACCTCCTCATTGTTCTCCATCATTTAAACATGAATTCATTAATGTTTCTCCTATCCATAAAATCCTTTTAGTGAGCTGGGTAATGTTACTCTATTTCTTTTTTTGCAGTGCTGGGATTTGAACTCAGGGCTTTGCATGCACTGCGCAGGTGCTGTACCACTTGAGCCTCTACTCTGCCTTTTTGCTTCCTCATTCTGACTTTGCATCCCTGTTCATGTTCCTGAACTTCAAAGACTTAACTCATCTGCCCATCCTTCTTATCATTTTGCCTGAATATAGATCTTTTTTCTTTATCTTCTCTTACTCTTAGGACTCAGGCCACTTATTTGACAAACATTTATTTAGTGTCTGTTATTTACCAGGCACAGTGACTTGGGGGATTGGTTCAAGTGACAAGGCCCTGAGTTCGGTCCCTAGTACTGTAAAACAATAAAGTCTGTTCTGCATATGTTCACAGTCTCTTGAGGTGTTGGGGGTTGTGGTAGGGGATACAGACATATGAACAAATTACTGGTATTGAGATATAAAGACTTTTTTGAACCACAGAGGAAAGCAGTTACTATTATCCAAGGAGATCAGGAAAACACAAGGTGTGCTAGTCAGTTTTTTATCATGTGAGAGCAATACCTAAGGAAAACAACTTAAAGGAGGAAAGAGTATCTTGGCTCATCCTTTCAGAGGTTTTGGTCCAAGACTGGCTGGATCCATTGCATTGGGCCTGAGGCAAAGCAGAATATCATGGTGGCAGGAGCATATAGCAGAGGCTGCTCATCTTATGGCAGCCAGGAAGCAGAAAGAAAGAGACACGCACAAAGAGACAGACAGGCAGGAAGGGGTCATGGACAAGGTATATCTTTCCAGGGCATGCTCCCAGTGACCTACTTCTCTAAATAGGGCCCACCTCCTAATTTCCACCATGTCTCAATAATGCCATCAAAGTATGAATCCATCAATGAATTAATGCATTGAGGAAGTCAAAGCCCTCATGATCCAATCACCTATCAATAGCATTACCAGCTGGGACCAAACCTCCAATACATGAACCTTTTTTGGGGAGATACTTCATATCCAAACCACAACACAAGATGTTTTTGTGAATGTGCTACTCTCAAGGTCTTAATGGACCAATGTTTTAAATTCATTAATTTAAAACAGAGGACTTACATTACTTTTCTAAGTTTACATACTAATCATTGACAAAATTTGCCTGAGGTTCCTCAGTTCACCTAGCTTTTTTATTTTCTGTGACAGAATATATATAGTCATATGACTATGTAGTTGAGAATGTACATCATGCCCTCTAAGACAATTGGTTTGCTTGTTTGCTAGCTTCAGACACACAGCTTCTGTGTGTGCTGTGTATCACATAAGAAAGATAGATGATTTAAAGTTACCTCTCACCACAACCCTCCATCCTTCCCCAAAGTTAGTCACTATTAATTGCTTCTCGTGTATCATTCCGCATATTTTATATATTCACAAGCAACCACAGCATTTTTACTTTGCACACATAACTTGATTTAAATTTTTCCTTCTAGTTTCAGATTCCTTTCCTGAAGTGCCAAAACCAAATAATTATGATATATATTTAATGTTTCAGTGAGGAGACAAGGATTTGTAACAGGCTAGTGATGGGGGTTTCTTGTCTTCTCTGGGCTTAGGAATAAGCTCATGAGACAGGGATAGTGCACACACAGGTAGATTTATTAGAAAAAGAAAAGGCTGCAGTTAGAGCAGTACAGCAGCAGCTCCCCGCTGAGGTGAAGACTGGGGCTTTTTATGGATGCTTTAACTCTGGGTTAGGGTAAGGGTTAGGTGAGTTCTTTCCATTGGTCGTGGATTCGTGCACACAGGTTCTCTTTGATGAGCTGGTCTGTTTGCTAGTCACTCCCTTATGGAGTGCATTCTGTTTATCAGCCCCATGGCAGATTTATGAGGCCATGTATCTCCTTCTTGGGGTGCAGGGCTCATGGTGCTCTCCATGGGGGATGGGATACTGACTCACTCATCTGTCCTTTAGGTTCCCACATCCAACAGATTGAGAATGGGAAACTTGTAGTGATAGAGTCTTGTGGAAGAGTGGAAGCATCTAGGAAAATAGTTGAACCTACCCAGGCCCATCATGTGGACTCTGATTTGCAAAGGGAGCAGGCCAAAGCCAAGGATAAGACTGACTATAAATGCTCAGACCTGACTGAACATGAAAGTACACACACAGGAGAAGAGCTCTGTGAGTCTGAAGTGCGTCAGAGTTCTACTCTTAGTGGACATCAGGAAATCCTCTCTAAAGAGAAAGGTCGTCAGTGCCACGAGTGTGGGAAAGTCTTTCAGAGGAGTTCACACCTCATCAGACATCAGAAAATTCATCTTGGTGAGAAGCCTTATCAGTGCAAAGAGTGTGGAAACGTCTTCAGCCAGAACGCAGGCCTTTTGGAACATCTCAGAATCCATACTGGAGAGAAACCTTATCTATGCATCCATTGTGGAAAGAACTTTAGGCGCAGCTCTCACCTTAATCGACACCAAAGAATCCACAGTCAGGAAGAACCCTGTGAGTGCAAGGAGTGTGGAAAAACCTTCAGTCAGGCCCTACTCCTCACCCACCACCAGAGAATCCACAGTCACTCCAAAAGCCATCGGTGTAACGAGTGTGGAAAAGCCTTCAGTTTGACCTCAGACCTTATTCGACATCACAGGATTCACACTGGAGAAAAACCTTTCAAATGTAAAGTATGCCAGAAAGCCTTCCGACTAAACTCACACCTTGATCAGCATTTAAGAATCCATAATGAAGAAAAACCCTTTGAGTGTAGTGAATGTGGAGAAGCCTTCAGGCAGAAATCAGGTCTTTTTCAGCATCAGAGACATCACCACAAAGGCAAACTGGCTGGATGAGGTGTTCTCTCCTAGTAGAACATCAGAAAGGGTCCAGTGCAAGCAAACAACACTGTAGGAAAAAGTACCTCTAGCCAACTGTGGCATCAAAGAATACTTAGAGGCCAAGTTGAAAGCTGTTTGTCTCTCCTTTATTTTCCTTAAGGTCATCTTTGGGCTACAATAATTTCACCCTGGATGGTACTGTGGGGTCAAAGTTAAGCAGCATTCTTCACTATAGGACTTCTCAGAACTTTTACTGTGACAAATGCATGATTATGTGTCTTGAAGTAATAGCCTCATGAATGAATGAAGTCTTTGAAATCAGTAGCAAATGAAGTGTCCACAGATTTACAGATTTATGCACAAGTACAAGTTGATATTTTTGCAAATGCTGTAGCAATAGATACCTATAAAATAAAAGTAATGATGTTTGGAAATACACCATTCTCAAAGGTGTCTCAAAGTATGGGTTACCAGTGAACATTATCCCCAGTCTTCACTCCCTCCCTCCCCATGGCCTTATCTTCACAATTCCCCATACACAATGGAAATATTTCAGAAAGCAATGTCTTCTACTGGTTAACTATAAAACCTGCCCTCAGGATCAGCTCATGTCATTTTATATTTCCCACCATATTATCTCATCATTTCAAGTTAAAAGTTTTACTTAGACTGTGGAAGAGATTCCCCTAGTCATTCAAATGAACTGTGTTGACTTAACCCAAATAGCAAATATCTTACTTGGTAACTCCAGTGCCAGAACAATGACTTCTGCATAGACACTATTCAATTAATGTCCAGTGAAAGAAACTGGACTTACTCCCTTTAATATTGGTGATGCAGTTTTTAAATGTCGCATGTTTGGAATTCTTTGAAAGCCAAAAAAAGTCAGCTTGGAGAGGAGATCATGATCTTTATATCATGAATATAAGAATATCATGGTAATGATGAATATTAAACTTAGAGAAGTCTGCTCCCAAGTAAATCATCAGAATGGTAAACACTGCTTACTGGTTGGTAGTAGCTGCACAGGACACTGCTCTCTGAGAAGAAGTCTTCTTAGTCTACGAGCGTGGGAAGATTGGTGAACACTCACAGTGATTATAACTAGGTTCAACTGCATATAGCTTACAAGCAATAAAATAGCAACTAGGTAAAAGCTCATTTTCTTGGTCTAATAGGGAAGACTAGAGTTATAGTCCAGTTCTGATAAGGTGATTCCATAGCATTAGTAGGGTCTGTCTTTTGCCTATCAGCTTACCATTAACCATGCCATCAGTTTTTAAGGTCATGTGATCCTTGATGGCTGCTGAAGCTCCAGCAAAATAACAGACAAAAACCAGAAGGACAAAAAAAGAGGCTTCTTGCAGTTCAGTCAGCTCCCTATGAGCAATCTTCCTAAAAACTGCTTAGCAGATAGGTCTTAGGCTAAAACTTTAAAAAAGGAAGCAGGAAAGGGTGACTTATCCTGAATTGCACAGTGCCCAGCTGGGAGTTAGGCTTCTGTCACTAAAGATAAAGGAGAGTATTGGAATGGGCACTTAGTCTTTTGCCTTCTTCCTGATCCTTCCCACTTAGATCTGACTGGGTGCAAGCTGACTCGAAGCAACAGACAATACCATTTTCTAGAGGGAAACCAAATATGTAGGAAAAGCAGATGTACCTTTTTGAAACACTAAACAAAAAGTCCTAAAAAAGTCAATATTCTATTGCTTAAGAAGCCATAAAACTATGTATGTTTTGTTCTGCCTTTATAAGAAAAATTAAGTTGATGTCAGGGATATTTTCCCAAAGTATTCTGAGGGCAAGGTATTCTGAGGAGCTAAATACCTAACTCTATTTCTTAATTTAAATTTAAATCTGTCTAATTCTGTTCAGTTTAAGAAAGAAAGTACATAGAACATTTTATTTATTATTCTTATGGAGAGATTCAAAGTTTGAAAAAAAAATATATATATATATTCCAGCCATCATTTGCCGGGAGCAATCTGGTTGTGATAAGAAATCACTGCTGTCTAGGGGGTAGTTTAGAGGCTTGTAAAGATGTTATCAATTAGTCCTGTTCTTCCCTGGATTCCAAGGTGGCTGTAAAGTGAATGCAGGAGAGAAAGGCTCAAAGGACACAGATCCAAGATGGAGACAGAGATGCCAAGCTTTATCCTGCTTTCATTTATCCTTTAGACACTTGCAGGCCCAAGTGAGGGGTCAATGTTTTAGAGCAAAAGCAGTTCCTAAGTACTATTATAAAGCTGGTACTATTTTTGTGGACACTTAGAGGAGCAAAAGAATGAACCAGCTTCTGAAGCAGTAATCCCATGAGGGCCTGGAGAGACTCAGGAGTAGCAATTTTAGACCCCAGCTTCTGAGACCCATTCACAAGTTGGTCTTGCTACCCCATGGAATAATACTTTCACTAAAAGATTCTTTTAGGCTTGTTTGAGTTCATAGAAGATAGTTTTCAATATAAACTGCATAATATTCATAGTATATGTCCCTATTGATAGTCATTTGGCCATCAGTCATCAACTGGTGACCAGCCACCATCTAGAAGGTATTTAAAGGCTGCTAACCCTCAATTTATAAGCATACAAAAAGACACCATCAGAGATTGCAAGGATTTTAGGAGTTGAATAGGAAGAAGCAGAGAGGCACCCAAACACCATAGTATCCATAGGGTTTGCTCTTGGTGTACATTTTATGGATTTGGACAAACATAAATAACATGTATCCCCACCTTATAGTTTTACACAGAGTAGTTTCACTGCCTTAAAAATTCTCTATGCTTCACCCACTTATCCCTCCCTGCACCCTAACCTCTGGCAACCACTAATCTTTTTACTGTTTCAGAATGTCATATAGTTGGAATTATACAATGTGTATAATGTGTAGTCTTTTCACATTGGCTTGTTTCACTTATATACATTTACATGTCTTCCATGGCTTTTCATGGGTTGGTAGCTCTTTTTTTTTTTGCATTGAATATTTCACTGGGTGCACTACAGTAAAAGACATATCTGTTATTCAAAAGACAGGACTGTTACTTAAAATATAGAAAGAATTCTTAAAACTCAACAGTAGGAGAAAAAAACAAAGAATAAGCTAAAGAGCTTAATAGATATCCCATTAAAGAAGATATACAGTTGTCAAATAAGCACATGAAAAAGATCTACAACATATGTCATGAGGGAAATGAAAATTCAAATAGTAAGAAAACCATTACCAATTAGAATGGACAAAATCTGGAACACTGACCACACTGAGTGCTGGTGTGGTTGTGGTGCAACAGCACCTCTCATTCGTTGCTGGTGGAATGTAACATTGTACAACCACTTTGGAGGATGGTGTGGCAGTTTCTTTAAAAGTAACATATTGCTAGGCATGGTAGCCTGTAATCCCAGCACTCAGGAGTCAGAGGCAGGAGGATTCCAAGTTCTAGGCCAGCCTGAGATACAAAGTGAGATCCTGTCCCAAAACCAAGGGCCAGAGATGTAGCTGAATGGTAGAGTCCTGAGCTCTGCAAAACAAACAAAAACTAAACCACAGTCTTACCACATCATCCCTATTCCTTGATGCTCACCCAAAGGAGCAGAAAACATGTCCACACAGAAAGCCACAGACATTTATAGCAGCAGATTCATAACTGTGAAAACTCAGAAAGAATCTATGTCCTTCAGTAAGTGAATGGATAATTAAACTAGGTCCCGTTTTAGAAGACATTTTATTATTACTGAATATTTTTATTACTGAACACCTTTTTACATTTATCATTTATTTATAACTCTGGTTTTTCAAACAGCCATATGCACCTCCTTTGCCAATTTTTCTATTAGTCTCCTTTTGCTCTTAAACAGCGATGACCTTAAAAATAGGGAAGTATCAAGATTTTAAATGCATATGCCTTTTGGTGAGTTCCAATATGCAATATTTACTCAAAAAATACATTCATAAAATAATATAAAGGAACCACCATTTAACTTTCAATATCAATAGCATAAAGGCAAAATAATTATTTTTCTATGGAAACAGTAATATAGACAATACCATAAACAATGTTCTCTGGGGAGTTCTGAAGTCTCAAAGCAAAGAAAAACTTGAAGAAAACAATAAAAGCAATTTTTTAAAAAACAGTGTAAAGATATTGAATGGTGTTCCCTGTAGTACTCTTTATATAGAAACAGTATTACCCCAAATATAATCAATAGGGATAGTTAAATAAATTATGGTGGAAACATACAATGCTTAGCTGTTAAAAAAAAAAAAACACTAATAAATAGCTACGGAAAAATCTCCAAGCTAATTTAACCAAAAAAGCTAGGATGCAAAATTATATTGTGGTCCCTTTGCTTTTATCATTCCGTTAGCTTGGTGAAAAAACAGTTTTGGGGTCCCGGGTATCGGACCCAGAGTCTGGCGCGTGCCGGTATAACGCTCTACCCTGATGTACATTCTGAGCCCTATTTTATTTGGAGTGATTTACATACACGTGGGGTGGGCGCAGCCGGGCTCAGCCCCGCGCACCAGAGAGACGAGAACGCGTTCCTAGAGAGGGCGGATCCTACCGGAAGTCGCCGTGACCCGCGCGGCGGGAAGGAAAACCTGCAGTTTCCAGCTCCGGCTGCAGGAAGTGCCCCTGGCCCCCAGCACCGATGCAGGAAGCCCTAGGTGACACTTGCCCGCGCAGCTAGACCGGCGACCTGGGTTGTGGGGAGATCACCCGGCACTTCCCAACTGTGGATCCCCTGGCCTCCTCGTTCCGCGGGAACCTTTCAAGAGGTCGGCCACATCTTTGTTGTACACGTTCCCTGAACTTTTAGTCTTAACCAGCAATTGGACACGCACTTTCTGAGTTCCAACTGTCTGCCAGACTCTGTGCTAGGTGCTGGCGTGCAGTCTTAGGATACAGTCTGAACCCGCCAGAGTCCTGGCTCCTGGCATCTCAGTTCATCTGTGCACATTCATCAAGAAGCCCACCAGTATTTGTTGAGTGCCAGGTACGTGCTGGGCTTGTAGAGTCTATGCAGAGATGAACCCCTGTCCTCAAGGTGCAGGAATGGCAGTGGAGTGGTCTGTAGTAGGAGATAGAGAGGTGGGTACAGTTTTCCATGGGAACTTCACACGGGCACCTATGTGGCATAAAGGACAGAACAGTTTTCCCCATCTGTGGTCGGGGAAGGTTATACAGGTTTATAGAACGCGGCTTTTGCACTGGGCCTTGGGAATTTACATTAGAAGGGTGGTCCTGGCTATAAAGTACAAAGTAGGCGGAAAGAATTTAAGTAGTCAGCGTGACAGTGAATGAGGAATTTGGTAAGACCGTGGTTTTCTTGAAGGTAGAGTCTTTGTTCCAGGGTTAGCTTTATGCCTGGAAAATAATTAGGTGCCTAGTAAATTGAATAACAAACAAAACAGTAAAACTCAATAAAGTTTGCATCTCTGGGAATTTGAATTTAGTCCAAGGAAATTTGTAGGAAAAGCGGACTTTTCTCTGCTCTCACACTACAACAGTTATCACTGACTTCTGTGACTTCAAAAGCTGTAGAGACTTCCCACCAACAAGCAAACAATTCCTCACCAGACACCACTGGGTATTCCCTAATTCATTCTGGTTCTGACAGTGACACATCCCCTAGGTTGAGGACTCAGTTGCACAAGACTGCCTCCCATTTCCAGTGTCAATTGTTATTTTGCCTGTGCTCTGACTGTCTGGGTAGACAGATTTCAAGGAAACACTTATGGTTACTGGTGTATTATAAAGGATATAGATGAAGAGTGTAACAGGGAAAAATTAAGGGGTGTGAAACTTCCATGCCTTCTGGTGATACCAACCTCTAGGAATTTCCACATGTCCAGCTGTTTGAAAACTTCATGAACCCTGCCCTTTTTGTTTTTTATGGAGGTTTTATTCCATAGGCATGACTGATTAAATCATTGTTCATTGGTCACTAGCTTAACTTTCAGCTCCTGCTCTGAGGTTGGAGGTGAGAGGCTGAGAATCTCCACCCCTGTAATCTTGCCTTGGTACTTTAGTGACCAGCTCCTGTCCTGAGGCCACTTAGGGGCTGCTAGCCTGCAATCATTAGAATATAAAAACTTACTCCTTTGAAGATTTCAAGGATTTTAGGAGTTGTATCCCAAGAAATGGGGCCAAATAGCAAACATATTTTACAGTATCACTTGGAGATATGTTGAATGTGGTCAGAATTGCACTTTAGGAAATATTAATCCAATGATGGGAGGTTGAGTAAGAGGACACACAGAAAATTGTAATACTGGATGAACATAGTAATAAGGGAATAAAAAGGAAGGAATAGCTGTAAATGGAATTTTGTAGAAAAAAAAGTGTACTCAGTGATAGGGCTGGGTGTTAAGCCTAAATGTGTGGAAGATGGTGACACCAATAGCAATGGAGAAATACAGAATGAGTGCAGCTTTGAGGAGGCTCTGATTTCGTTTTGAGATGGTGCAGTATAGGCCTACAGCTCAAGACATCCTGCTGTCATTTGAAGATGTGGGTCTGGAGTGTGTAAGGCAAGTTGGAGCCAGGCAAAAATTTGAGTGTTCTTGGAACAGAGAGATATACTGAAATTGAGATCACAAAAGGAGAAAGTAAGAAAGGATAAAAAAAGAGCCTGAAGTCTGTGTACTGTTTGACCTGTTTGTTGTTGCATAAAAATAAACTAAAACTTAGTGCACTGAAAACAATTTATCACAGATCTGTAGATTGACTGGCTAGTTGTACTGCTGGTCTCACTTGGAGTTACTCATATGGCTACAGCCAACTAATGAATTACCTACGCTCTAGGCCCAGGTAGGATTTAGCTTCAGAGCCTTGCTTGATTCTGCATGGCTGGCTTGGGCTTCCTCACAGCATGGCAGTCTCATGGCAGCATGCCAAAAGCTGTAGGGACATTTCCTTTTATAGTATCATGTCTGTGATATTCTGTTGGTCAAAGTAAGTCTAGGCCAGCACAGATTTTAGGGGTAAGAAAAAATAGATTCCATCTCCTGATGAGAAGAGTGGCAAGATTTTATTCCAAAAGATATCTGAGGATAGGAGACTTTGAAAACAGACTACCATATGTATATTTAATGTAGAATATTTAATACATAGAGATAGATGACCTTTGAGACTATACTATCTAGCCAGAAAGGCAGCCATCTGGCTTCTCTATGGGTAAAACTAAATTATCCCTGCACCCCAGCACAAGTGTAAACTGCTTAAGCATTCTTGGTTTTTTGTTTTGTTTTATTTTTCTTTTCTTTTCTTTTGGGACAGGATTTTGTTATGTAGACCAGGCTGACCTTGAACTTGCTATATAGCCTAGGCTGGCCTCCAACTCCCAAGTGCAGAGATTACTGTAGACATTGACTATCACACCCGCCAAGCATGCTGTTATTAACCTTTCTTCCCCCATATACTACTTCCCTTATAACTGGGCTCAACCCCTTTAGTGTTCAAGATATACTTTTGATTCATTTCACTTATAATAGAAACAAGCAGGGTCAGCTTTTGAGCATGACCTACAATGGGAACAAAAATAAAAGTATGTTACATAGTGTTTTGAAACTCTTGTAATTTTTGTATTTCTGATCATTTCTTATACTTTAGATGTACACTTGGGAAAACATTTCTGAAGCATAGACTTCAAGCAACTGAATCTTTCTCTAGCTTCTAAGCTCAGCATGTATGAAGCTTTGCCAGGTTCTGAAAATGAAGACAGCCTCATGAATGTGAAAGTGGAAGATCCTACCTGGGAGCAGGCATACCACTCACAGGAGGGCAGCTCCCATACTCAGGAGCTTTGCCGACTAAGATTCCGGCAGTTCTGTTACCAGGAGGCTCATGGGCCACGGGAGGCTCTGTTCCAACTCCGAGAACTTTGCCATCAGTGGCTGAGGCCAGAGATGCACACAAAGGAGCAGATCCTGGAGCTGCTGGTGCTAGAGCAGTTCCTGACCATCTTGCCCAAGGAGCTGCAGGCCTGGATGCAGATGTATCGTCTGCAGAGTGGGGAAGAGGCAGTGACAGTGCTGGAGAATCTAGCCACAGGACATGGAGACACAGAACAGCAGGTAGGAAGACAGTGAGTGTGGAAGTGTGAGAGAACAAATATGGAATGTGTATCTTTAATGTTACCTTTATTTCGAGATAATTTTTAACTTACAGAAGGATTGGAAGTGGAACTGGTGGAGTGGCTCAAATGATAGAGTGCCTGCCTATCAAGAATGAGGACTTAAGTTCAAACCCCAGCACTGCAGAAAATAAGTAAACAAAGTAAGAAGGGTTGGGAGGACAATGTAGAGAATTCCTATATACTCTTCACCCACATTCACCATTGTTCACATTTGTTTCATGGTGTGCCCCACCTAACTCATCCCATACTGCTGTGCAAACTGAATTTTCTCATCTGTATATTCGTATACACACACACACACACACACATATACTTTTTTTTTTTTTTTTTTTGCCCTGAACCTCTTTTTCTTTAGAAACACTGTAGTATTTCTGGTTTTTTGGTTTGTTTTTACTGGTTTTCCTTTTTCTTTTCTTTTTTTTTTTAGGCAATACAGGGGTTTGAACCCAGGGCCTCACCCTTGCTAGGTAGGCATGTTTACCACCTGAGCCATTCTGCAAGCCCTCAGTGTGTATTCTGAAGAGCGAGGGCATTATTTTGCACAACTAGAACAACAATTATCAAATTTAGGGAAATTAAATAAAATTATTAGGATGCTATAACACTAGTCCTTATTCAGATTTTGCCATATTTTCCCAATAGTGTTCTTTATGGCATTTTTTCACTTGGTCTAGGACATAAGCCAGCATCACACATTCCATTTAGTCTCCACAAATCTGTTCAGTCTTTTTTGTCATAACTTATAAAAATATAAGTTCAAGCCAGTTTTTTAGGGTTTTGTTTTTGAGAATGTCCTCAATTTCAGTTTATCTTATATTTTCTCCTGATTAGATCCAAGTTGTACATTTTGCTTAGAATTTCTACAACAGAGGTGATGTTGTATTCTTGTTTTCTCCTCAGTTTGTCATTTCAGAAGTCACCCAGTGTTGATTTATCCCATTACTAATAAGGTCATGGTAGTGCCTGTCAGATTTTTCACTACAAAGTTTACCATATTCCCCTTTAAAATTACTAAGTAATTCCTGGAACATTTTGACAGTTAAATATCCTAGTCCTCATTAAACTTTTGCCCACTAGTGTAGGCATTCATCTGGTTTTTGTGTTTGTTTTTCTGGGCAAGGATCCTTTACCCATTTGTCTACCTTGCTTGCTTACTGCTGAATCACCAAATACAGAATAAGGCCTGGCTTTTAGTGGATATACAGTCCTTATTTGTCAAATCTGTTCTGCTTGCTCCTTTTTTAAAAGATTAAATGGGGCTTGTTCTATTTTCTTTTGGGGAAGTCCTTAACTGCTATTCAGTCTAGTTCCTTCCAGGATGCTTTTCAAAATGAATCTTTTGTCTCTAGGCATCTTTCTACATTCAGGGACAGGACATGCACCTAGTTGTGACAGAATACCAGGGAGCCTCTTTGGGGTGTCAGAGCCTTCAGCTTCTGCCTGGGGTAACCACCCTGATGTGTGAACCTCCACAGCTCCCCAAAGAAGTGAGTGGTGAGTGCCAAAGGGTGAGTTTAGTGTGGACACTGAGAGCAGGCCTCCAATACATGGTCTTCTTAGTAGAAACTTTGTTATCTGTGTTCTCAAGTTTGTTTGGTTTGGTTTGATTTTTTGTTGTTGTTGCTATTGTTTGTTTTTTTGTTTGGGGTGTGTGTGTTTGGTAGGGAGGGTTGAGACAGGGTTTCATTATATACCCCAGGCTAGGCTGGAATTTACTTTGTAGCCCTGGCTGGCCTTGAACTCATGATCCTCTTGCCTCAGCCTCCTTTAGTGCTGGGATTACACACTTGCCACTCTGCCTTCAAGTTTTTGTTTCTTGTTTTTATAGACACTATGATTACCACAGTACTTAATATATTTATCATCTCAGTTGCCATTTGTGTGTGTGTGTGTGTGTGTGTGTGTGTGTATGAACACCCTTGAAATCTACTCTTTGCAAATTTCAAGTATGAAGCTGGACATGGTGATGCATGCCTGTAGTTCCAGATACTTGGGAAGCTAAGGCAGGAGGATTTTGAACCAAAGAGTTCAAGACCAGCCTGGGCAACACAGCTAGACCCTGTCTCAAAAAAAAAAAAAAATCAAGTATGCAGTATGTTATTATTAACTGTAGTCACCACACTGTATATTAGGTCTCCAGAACTGCAAGTTCATGCCCTTTAACTAGTTTTTGGTTTTGTGGTTTTGTTCATACCTGTATCTAAGCAAGCTTTTAAAAAGTAAGGAATTACAAAATGTTAGAATTCTAAGATCTTCTTCCTTGGTTTTTTTCCTTTTTTTTTTTTTTTCTTTTTTATTTTTGTGGGATTGGGGTTTGCACTCAGTGCCTCATGCTTGCTAGGCTATCACCCGAGTCACTCTGCCAGCCCTTTTTTCTGATGGGTTTTTCAAGATAGGGTCTCACAAATTATTTGCCCGGACTGGCTTTGAATGCAATCCTCTGATCTCTGCCTCATGAGTAGCTAGGATTACAGGCAGTGAGCAACCAGCACCTGGCTGAACTCTAAAATATTCTTATTCAGCATTTTTAGTTAATAGTTAGGAAAACCAATACTTACTTCAAATAGCTTGTACAGGATCGACAGAAGCAGAGCCACTTCTAAAATGTAAGACTTCTGCGCTTTGACCAAAACTCTTTCACTACCTCATGTCTATCTATATTCTATATTTCTAATTCTCAAAAAAAAAAAACCACTAATCAAAACAAGCAAACAACAGCAACAACAAAAAGACAGATCAGAGCAATTTGAATTGGATTTTGTGCTGTACCCCTCAAAGTGAAGCACTTATCATCAGCTTCTTTCTCTCTGTTTTCTTAAGACAAGTTCTCATTATGTTGCCGAGACTTTTTCTTTTTTTTTGGTGTTACTGGAGTTTGAACTCAGGACCTCACACTCGCTAGGCAGGTGCTCTTAATGCTTGAGCCACTCTGCCTCTGCCATCCCTTCTCTCCTCTATTTTTTATTTGAATTTTGCTTTATGTATGTAAAAATGGATTGTTGTAGAGCACCTTATGAGTTCATAAATCCCACTCAATTTTAAAATTCCACTCAATTCTAAAATTCTAAAGTTTTAGCACTCCTGACAGAATGAAATCAGTCTCAATACTCTAAGAGATTAAGATCTGTATCTTAGTTTGGATGTTTAACAAACATAAGGTTAGGTGGTGGGGTTCCAAAGAGCATTTCTAAAGGACATTGTGTCTCACTTAGGACCCTTGTCTCCTCTCTTTACAGGGTTTGCTCCCCAAGGAACTGCCTTTCCCCAGGAAGAAAGTTGTAGAGATATGACACCTGAGTTTAACCCGCCCAAGTTCCAGGTGAGCAGGTGCCTGGGCTTATGAAATTTAAGTAGCAGTCCTCCTCCTAGAGCTCTTCTTTGCCCTTCTCTTGATCCATACTCCTCACCCTGAAAGCCTTTTGGTGGCACAGTTCTTTTAAGTTCAGTTTGTCACAAAATATCACAGACCATGTGTTCATCATCCAAGGAGCTTATAGCGTTTTTAGGAGGCCCATTGAAATCTCCAAGTATGGGAATGAGGGTAGAGTTAGGTCCTTCATTTCAGAAAATTCCTCCACTTTGCAGGATGTGGTGGTGCATGCCTGTAATTTCATCACTTAGGAGGCTGAGGCAGGAAAATCACAATTTGAGGCCAGCCTGAGCTACACTTTGAGAATGTGTCTCAAAAAAAGAAGGCTATGAAAAAAGAAAAGAAAGTGCCTCCACTCATTTGATACTGAGTGATCAATGATTTGTTTCTTGGGGTCTTCAGTTTCTCTCTCCAGACTGAGAACCAGAACGCTTTTCTCCTATTCTTTTATATTTTCAGTGTTTGACACACTTCCAATTAGTATTTTTGGTGATGATGATGGAAATTCTGTACACCCAAACAAAATGAACCAGTTCTTCACAAAATGAATGTTTTTTTTTCCTTATTCTCTTAGTGAGTAGTTAATTTTTTTTTAAATTGGGCTGCAGGAATAGTTCAGTAGTAAAGCTCTTGCCTGGTATGCATGAAGCTGTGCATTCCATCTCCAACAGCATGCACACACGCACGTATGCATACACACAAATTTTTTTTTCCATTCAAGTCCTCTTGTACACTACTGCTACATTAGTTTTCTCAAGACACCAGCTTTATGGTCTCCTCTCCTCTCAGTCCTTTTCTGTAGCTTCTTAATGTTCTTACTTCCATCAGATCTAGGGCCTTTGTTCTTAACAAGTACTTTATCTCCCTGAAAAGAAATGTGTGGACAATAAAATCTACTTATACACAATTTAAATATCAACCTAATTGCTATAGATGTAATATAATATGTAAATAAAGAAAAAGTGATTTCTGTGTTTAAAAAGATATATATTCCAGAGTGCAAATGGTTGGACATGATTACCTGAGGACATAACAAAGTAGTTAGATGTTTGCCCTGTTGAATAATCAATAAATGTGAATTAAGGAGGAATAAGATCAGAAGTCGAAGAAAGTCAAAAGGTGGAGGTGTAAGTGGACAGTGAATGAAAATTAGTATTGAGTCAAGTAAAAAAAAAAAAAGATGAACCTTAATAAAGTGAGGCTAAGACATGGATTGAATTATGTCCCCTCAAAAGGTATGTTGAAGTCCTAACCCTGGGTACTTGTGAATGTGACCTGCTTTGAAAATAGGCTCCTTGTAGATGAAGTTAAGATGTCATTCTGGATTAGGATGGGCCCTAAATCCAATGACTAGTATCCTTATATGAAGGCCAAGTGAAGACAGACCTGGGGAGAATGCCTGTGATAAATGAGGCAGAAACTTGTGTGATGCATCTACAAGTGGAAGAATACCAAGGATTCCCCATAACTACCAGAAGCCAGGAGAAGGGCAGGGAAGATCCTCCCTTAGAGCAGTCAGAAAGAGGATGGTCCTGCTGATACCTTAATTTTGAACTTCTAGCCTCCAGAACTATGAGAAATAAATTTCTGTTGTTTTAAACTGCCAAACTTGTGCTACTTTGTTATAAGAGTGCTAGGAAATAAATACAGATTTCAAGGAAAAATATATTTTGGTAAAGAAGGATGATATAATTTAAATATGGAAGGCTTTTCAGTGTCAAAATAATTCTGTTTGCAGTTTGGGTGGGCTAGTAGTGAGATAAAAAGAAAATGTGTCTTCTGTAAAAGAGTAGACACTGTATCCTTTCAGGCAATCTGAAAGAGGGTATACTGGAAAATAAAACAGAAAATCAGAGCTTTATAAAAAGCCATGAGGTAGATCTTTGGAGACAGTGTCAAATAAACATATAGAACCATAGACAACCCCCAAAATTATTGCGGAAAATAATTTTTCTAACTTAGATGTCATTGATAGCTTTGAAATATTTAAAAATAGATTTTACTAATGAAATAAATCTCTGCCTTTACATTAAATTCCAAGTCTGTTAAAAGGAGACTAAGAACTCCTCCATTGTATATTTGCAATCATTTTAATTGCAATTAATTAATTGCAATTGCAGTAAGTACAGTATGGTATTGGAATGCTCTTCAACCATAGAAGAAAATAGTATCACAATAGTAAGGAGAACAGTTTGAATGACTCAAGTTTTATGACAATGTCTTATTCCATGTAAGTTTCCTTCTCTGAAGCATTCTTAAATTACTTTTTTATTCAGTATCATCGCATAAAACACTCACAGGATTCTTATATTTAGGTGTGGCCAATTTGTATTGATTGTAGGCTTGGTTCATCGGGACACTAAAAGTCCTACAGGATGTGAGACAGTTCTCTGTATTGTGGGACTCCCCCATGCACTGACCTCACTCTGAATGGCACTGGCATCATACCAAAAAGTTCACACAATTTACAGAATGTCCTGAGTGGCAGGTACCAACTCGTCTAGAGTATGATATTCAACATCCTTCACAACTAGAAAACTAAAAGGCCATTTTTTACCTTGTAGATGCTTGTGAAGACTGGGGAGGAAACAGACCAGGCTTTTGCTCCAGAGGAATGGCCTCGTCTGAGTCTGGCTCAGAGTAATGTCTGTGGGAATTCAACTCAGGAGGATATAAGTCTGATGAGTAAGGACAGGCTTCTGGCTGATCCCATTTGTGCTTTTCTTTTCCCATCTCTGTCCTGATTTGGCCTTATAGCCCACATTTCCTATAGGTCCTCACTCTCCCTTCCTTTCTTTTGGCTTCTGCCTCCAGAATTCTCTCGGCCCTTATCATTTTGTATCCTTCCCAATCACATTATCTTCTATTGCTAATCGCCTTGGTTATTGATTCTTATGATCTTCCCTTACTATTCCTCCCCATTCTGTGTTCCCCTCTGTGACTTCTTTGCATCTTTTCCTTCCTTATCAAGGGTTCCATATAACTTGTCATTTTCAGATATCCCTTCAGACCTAGAAGTTCCATGACTGCCTCTGCCTGATCCCTATTTACCTCAGAGGACGTTCTTTTCACTGAGAACACTGATGTCCATGTTTAGTTTTCTTTAAATGTGCTCTGCCCTATTGGGTCCTGTCCCCAAATGGTCACTAGTACCATAATCAACCTTTCCCAGTATCTTCCCATACTGTGCCACATTTCATAGGATCACTGAAACACCCTTGAGACATCTGTTGTTTTATTTTAATTCAGGACATTTATTCCCTGCCCTAGATAATGTTTTTTTTCCTAAATTAATGGAAAAAATAATGTATCGTTTTAGTAGAAGAAGTTGTAACTAAAAATGGTTTGTTTAATGTAGAGCAAGACAGTTTTGAAGAATTGGAACAAGGTGTCAAGACCTCAGGAATACCCAACAGGTGAGGGATGATGGTTCTGAGTACATCAAATCCTGCAAATGTAAGAAATTGGAATGAAACCAAAGAAACCAATTAGTCAATGCCTGCTTCCCCAGAATAATACAGAATTAGTTCCACTCTCACTTCTGTGATCATAGGAGGCTTGCCAACAAAATGACCTGTCAATATGTAATAATTATACAAAACCCGATGTTGGCAGTTACCTCCAGCAACCCTATCCTGACCTAATCTGACCTGCTTGATCACTCTTTCCAGTGCTCCCTTATATTCTTATGGAGGTGTAAATGGAGAGGCCAGAAAACAGAATTTACAGAGTAAAGTCTTAACTGCCATGACAGTTAAGAAAGAAATATCAGAGCTGGAAGAAAACTTACAGAGGACAAGTAGGGTATTTTCAGCTTCCATGAGGAGACCTGAACAAGGAATAGATCAAAAGGAATGTAGATGATAAAGAGAAATTAAATATAGTAGTAAGCACTTCATTAAGTATTGGTTGTAAGACTGAGTGAAGTGTAATGTAGATACTTCTAAAGCAGAAAGGAAGGATCACACAGAGGCAGAAGGTTGGCTTCTAGTATGGGCATTAATTTCTCAGAGACTTGACAAAAAAGGAAGAAGGAAACAGGTTGGAAATTAGCCTAAAGAACAGGGCAGGGAGTCGAGATTCTCCTTAATATTTGTTCATCTTAAGGGAAACAGCTAAATCCCAACTAAAATAGATTTTTTTGGGGGGAGGGAGGATGCTAAGAATTAAACCCAGGGCCTCCCCATGCAGTATACACCAAGCTATACTCCACTCCTTAAAATAGAAATATCTTGAAGCTTAAGGAGAAGTGAAATTTTTCATTAAGCTAGTGAGGACTGAGCCAAACTACACTGAAGAAAGAGATGTGATGCTCAGTGAGTTAGCACGGAGTTATAACTGGAGAACAGGAATTTGCTTTCATGCTCATTGGGCATATTCAGGATCAGGTTGCTGAAACCATGATTGCCAGTGCCTATAAGGATAAAAATACTTTGTTTCACATCCCAAAAAATCTGAAGGTAGGCTGCAGATTTGGTGCAGCAGCCCTACCATGATGTCAAAGATCCAGCCCCTGGTCAAATACACTCCTGTTCCAGTCCCCCATCCCTGCCCCACTTCCTTATCTCATTCTTTCCTATTTCCCACTTCTAGATCCTGCCCTCACCATATTGGCCTTAATACACTGTCGCTCTTGGAGTTTAGATCTCAGCAGAAAAAAGGCTTCCATGTCATGACAGGATTCATGGAGTATCCCTGAAGTTGAGAATGTCAGGATACTCTAAGATGAATGTGTTAAATGGATACTACAGGTAGACTTGAAGACTTCCAAAGTGAAAAATGCTTAAGTAAATGAATATATGCAGTGTAAATTATATTAAAGTATATTTTCTGTTTTTTTCCTTTCATGTCTTCTAAAATTAGAGTAGTTTATGGATAGGACACTAGTAAATAAAATGTGAATATCTAGAACTAAGAAGTGTAAAATACTTTTCATTTTAGTAATGTTAGCTTATTATCTTTGTAAGTCCATAAAAATAAGTGCAAGGAATTTGAGTTTCTTTTTTGTTACTCCTCAGAGAAATATATATACCAGCCTAAGTTGTTCCTTGTTCAGAAATTCAGTGAGAGGTGTGAGGAGGCCAGGTAAATAACCACCTCTTCCCTCATGTAAGTTAAGAATTAATTGAGGGAATACAGGAGTAGAACAGATGGTACCAGGAACCTCAACTGCTAAAAGAAACTAGATTGGATAAGTGGCTCAGAGGCAAAGCTAAAAGGCTCATGCTGGCAGAGTGCAGCATACGTTCTCCTGCAGAGGCCTGGTCATTGCAAGTTATGGCAAAAGTGAGCATGGAATGTCTGTAGCTTGCTCCTAAAGAGGACAGAGGAAGGGACTGTGCTAAGTAAGGATACCCAGTTTCTCCCTGATTCAACAGTTATGTCATAAGGAGTGAATGAGAATCAGGGAGAGGCCAGAAATGTTAGGTTTAGCCGAAGTCTTCCCTATGGAAACATGAGAAATGAGAAATAGTATTTGCTGTGCCTCTCCCCCCCCCAAGAAAAATGCTTCATACTTATGTATGAAATAATGAAACTCAGGATTTTTGTAGCTTATGTTTTTTTTTTTCTTTCTCAGAGATTGTGCACCCATTATCCCTTATAGTACTGCTGTCCCTATTGAAAAGACAGTCTCAAATTTGAACACTCTGAAGGATCGTCACCCACCCCGTGACTCCTGGGCCCGGATGCACATTGCATCCTTGCAATATGCAGCAGGAGACATTACTCGAAAGGGGAGAAAAAAAGACAAAGCTCGAGTGAGTGAACTGCTCCAAGGCCTTGCGTTTTCTGATGACTCAGATGTGGAGGAAGATAATGAGCCTGAAGTACAACCTGTGCAGAAGAAGCTAAAAGTGTCGAGTGTCCCAGAGAAGACTTGGACTAAAAGAGACATTAAACCCAACTTTCCAAGCTGGTCAGCACTGGATTCTGGACTTTTGAATCTCAAGAGTGAAAAGTTGAATCCAGTAGAGCTCTTTGAATTATTTTTTGATGATGAAACATTCAACTTGATTGTCAATGAAACTAATAATTATGCTTCTCAGAAAAATGTCAACTTGGAAGTCACGGTTCAGGAAATGCGGTGTGTGTTTGGTGTCCTGCTTTGGAGTGGATTTGTAAGGCGTCCTAGAAGGGGAATGTATTGGGAAATTTCTGATGCTGATCAGAACCTGGTTAGAGATGCAATTAGAAGGGACAGATTTGAATTGATTTTTTCATACCTGCATTTTGCAGATAATAGCCACCTAGATCAAAAAGATAAGTTTTCAAAACTGAGGCCTCTCATAAAGCAAATGAATAAAAATTTCCTTTTGTACGCTCCCCTAGAAGAATACTATTGCTTTGACAAATCAATGTGTGAATGCTTTGATAGTGACCAGTTCCTGAATGGAAAGTCTCTTAGAATTGGCTATAAAATTTGGTGTGGTACAACCACACAGGGTTATCTGGTTTGGTTTGAGCCCTATCAAGAAGACTCAACCATGGAGGCAGATAAAGATCTTGACCTTGGGTTAGGTGGAAATCTAGTAATGAACTTTGCTGATGTTCTTTTAGAGAGGGGTCAATATCCCTATCACCTGTGTTTTGATAGCTTCTTTACAAGTGTCAAATTGATGTCAGCTTTGAAGAAGAAAGGGGTGAGGGCTACAGGATCAATTCGAGATAACAGGACAGACAAATGTCCACTTATGACTGCAGAAAATATGAAAAAAATGAAGAGGGGGTATTTTGATTTCCGAGTGGAAGAAAATGATGAGATAATTTTGTGTCGTTGGCATGGGGATGGCATTATCAGTTTGTGCTCAAATGCTGTAGGTATAGAACCAGTCAGTGAGATAAGTTGTGTTGCTGATGGTGTAGAGATCCCTCAGATAAGTCAACCATCCATAGTGAAATTGTATGAGGAATGCAGGAAAGGTGTAGCTAAAATGGATCAAATTATTTCCAAATATAGAGTAAGGCTAAAAAGCAAGAAATGGTATTCCATTTTGGTGAGCTACATGGTTGATGTAGCCATGAACAATGCATGGCATCTGCACAGAATCTGTAACCCAGGCTCCTCTTTAGACCTCTTGGATTTTCGGAGATGTGTTGCACATTTCTACTTGGGACACAATGTTAATCTGTCGGATTAAGGCAGTGAACAAAATGTGGACAGTAACAAGACAGAAAATTTATAACTACTATTGGATTGTACCCTACCAAAGCAAATCTGATATAGATAGTGCAAGTATTAAGTAACTAGTATTTTTTAAGTCAAACATGGAATTTCAGAAACTATTATAATAAATAAGGTTAAAAGTTACCTGTGAAAATGTTGAACCCCAACTGATACATTTTTCTATATATAATTTTGTGTCCTATGGAAAATTACTTATTTGAATTGCTTATTTTGTGCATTAAAAGAATGAAATACTACTCCCCTCCTTATCTCTAGAGAATGCCATTTTTAAAATTCAAGCAATATCATAGTAACTATAGAATGACACTGAATCCATAGCCCAACGTAGAGATACTGCCCATGACTTAAGAATAATCTAAACAAAATATAAGTGGTGAAGACGCTAAAGACCTCAGCCTTGGTGTAAAACTCGATCAGATTGTACATAGTTAAGAAGAACCAGGCATGAGACAGAAGTAAAGCTGCGCTTTTGAGTAATGTTGAAGCGAGTGGTGTGTCTTATGACTGAGTTGACAGCAGAAATCAAAAAAGTGAAGAAAACATGAAGCAAATCAGTAGTAACAGCGTCATCATAAAAAGAGTACAACAGTTAAGTCAACATAATGCCCAAGGTGAAATCATTTTAAGAGATGAGTGAGTACAGGATTAAGGTCATCAGGAGAGATGCTAGGAAAAAGTAAACTGTAACTCCTGAGTGTTGTTGAAATCTAGTATTGCTGGATTAGTGCTAAGAGTATTTTTCTGGTTTTCTCCCCTGCTGCAATGTAAATGGTGCAAGTGCAGGGACCTGTGTGTACTCTGTTTACTGATGTGTTCCAGGTCCTTAAACTGGTGCCTGTTCACCCAAAGCAGGCACTCAGTGGGTGCATGTGGACTGACTAATGCCTCTGCCAGTGGTCTGACCCTCCTTTTCAAAGTCTCTTGGTGCTCCTGTGATCACAGGTACTGAAAATCCTTGTCACTGTCACTGAGGATGACAATGAGATCAGATGCTACAAGACTGGACTTGATCAGTGGAACAGAATTTGGAAAATAAACAGCCAAACAAAACATTGCCAGATTCTCTTCAATTTTTTTGTTATTGCAGGGTTGTTCTATCAGGCTTTTTGTTTTCTTCTCCTATCCCCCCACACCCATCCATTTGGGAGGCCATCCTTCACTTAACTTTTCTCTATTACCCTTCTGGCCTCTACTTTGTGGCTTCTTTCTCCTCTCTGAGTTTTCCTTTGCCTCTCTGAATAGGTGAGAGAGGAAGGGGCTGTCTGAGCATTGTGGCTGGAGTCACAGAAGGACCAAGCCAGATGCCAGTGCTGAAAATAAGTATGGCATGTTGTAGCATCATAGGAAGGACATTACTTGAGTAGCTCAGGAAGCCCAAGGGACTGGGGGTGAGGGTTGGTGGGACTGCAAGGAATGCTCAAACATGCAACAGCCCCTTTCCTTTACCTTGAGAGTTCATGTGAGGAGGAGAGAAGAGGAACAGCAGCTCTGTAGCAGCAGCCTTTTCTAAAGCAAACATTTGTATGTGCCACTTAGACTTTCTGGGTTAAGATTTAGTTGAATTTGTGCCACAGCAAAGGACACTGCCTTGCTCCCCACACCACCTCTTCCCACCTACCCACTGCATTCACAGGCATCTCACTCGTTTTAGGGCAGGACAGGCATGGGTCAGGCATAGGAGCTACATGCTAATGCAGAGGCTGCTGGTGGAGGGATGGGAAGGAAGCTGTCATTTGCTTGGCACCTCTAGCATATTGGAAGGACTGAACCAATACTTGGAGCTGTCTGGGGTCTGGGTATTTATTATGTGTTCCATGAGGCAGCAGTGGCAGTATCACCTGACAGCTTATGAAAAATGTAGATTCCTGGATCTCCTTCTGAAATTTCTAATTAGAACCTGCATTTTAATGAGATCCCAGGCAATTTTTAGGCACTCTAAAATTTGATAAGTACTATTCTAGATCATCTGAATTTAGCTGATTGCTAATTGTTCAATTCATGAATGAAATGATAAATTTTAAAAGGGTTTTATGTGGTTCCAGGACTATAAGAAATAAATATGTGTACATGTGTGTGCATGTACACTTTAAATTTTTAAACAAATTTCAAAGGACAGAAACTTTTCTCTTTCCTCTTTTCAACAGGGTCTCACTGTGTAGCCCAGGCTGGCCTTGAGCTCATTCCCATGTAGCTGGCCTTGAAACTGCTATCCTCCCCACCTCAGCCTACTGAGTGATGGGTTTTCAGGCCAAGTTTAGAGCAACATACTTTAATACTAACTTCTTATCTACTTTCTCTTAAAATACTGATTCAGATTCTGACTGTGGAGAAAAGTATAACAATGTAAGCAGAGGCATTTAATACCCTACTTAGTTTTAACATGATACATAGAACATTTGTTCTATGTACATTCATTACTTGGTATTAAATTATTTCTTATGTAAATCATAGTACTAAATTAGTTTATGGTTTAAGCACTTTATAAGTTTGTATTCACTCCTTCTTGTATATCCTATAAGGAGGTTACTGCTATCATCCTCTGTTCTCCAGATGGCAAGACAGTAGCACAGGGGCACTTAGATAAGTTGTCTCAAGTACCACAGCTCACAAATGGAGAGGCAGGATTTGAATCTGGACAGTTTAGTGCCAGAGCATATGTTTAACCCTGACAGTAAATGGCTTAAGCATGCTGGTCTCCCCAGTTAAGCAGCAAGGTCAGAGGTCCCTTTCTTTACAGAGCTACATCAGTGATGCAGTTTGCAATGGCACTCAGAATTGCTGACTAACTCCCAAAAAGCAGTGGTGGGAATAACATTGATGATAGAAAAGGCTGGGAATTAAAGAGGTTCTTTTGGAGAATAGAGATTGTAAGGTGTCATCTTACTCATTATTTATGACAAAAAATGGAAATCTTAACTATGATAATGACTGCCCTGAGAATTTGGAATTAAATATGAAATGAGACATAGATTTCTAAACTATGAAGATAAGATAATGGTGCTGAGTATACCACCTCTTCTGGTGAAAGCATCACAGAGGTCATCTGTCACATTTTTTCTTTTAGGTGAGGTTTCACTATGTTGCTCAGGAAGACCTTGAACTCCTGGGCTCAAGTGATCCACCCACCTCAGCCTCTCAAGTAGCTGGGACAACAAGAGTCTGCCATCATACCCATCTACCCATCACTTCATTTGGGGAGACCACATTAATGTGTTCTTGTGTGAATGTGGAGGATTCTTATTCCTAAAAGCCTTAAATGTGTTTAAAATATAACTCCTACCAAAAGAAAAAAGACTCACCTCTGTATATCTTTGAACTTACCCAATCTTTAAAAAGTATATACAGCTACTTTGGGTTGAGTGTTCAGTTTTACTGAAGAGCAGCCTCTACATAACAATTTATTTTCACATAAGATTTGGTTTTTAAGGGAAATCATTAGGAATGAACCAAGAGATAGGGGAATAAGGAGGCAGCCTGGCACACCAAAGACACTCATTGGGAGATACCAGCATCTGGTTTGCAGACAAGGTATTCATTCCAAAGCAAAACATATTGATAGGAACAGAATAGACCACTTGAAAATCCAATTCTTTGACATAGCATCACTTAGGGGCCTGGGAGTCCATGGACTTAGTCCAATTCAGCAACAGTGTGGATTCTAAAATGCCTAATAAGTTTGCAGTAATGACTGAAGGCTTTCCCACATTCATGGCACTCATATGGTCTCTCTCCAGTGTGACTTCTCTGATGTTTCATAAGGAGTGTCCGCCTACTAAAGCTTTTACTACACTGACTGCACTGATAGGGTTTCTCACCAAGGTGGATGCGGAGATGCTGGAAAAGCCCAGCATTCTGACTGAAGGCTTTACCACACTCATTACACTGATAGCGCTTCTCTCCAGTGTGTATCCTCTGATGCTGGACAAGATATGAGCTAAGGCGGAAAGACTTCCCACATACTTCACATTCATAAGGTTTTTCCCCTGTATGGATTCTTTTGTGTCTAATGAGGCCATTACTGGCAGTGAAGGCTTTCCCACACTCCTTACATTGATAAGGTTTCTCTCCAGTGTGGCTCCGCTGATGTTCATTCAGCCCTGATCTCTGACTGAAGGTCTTTCCACATTCCTCACATTCATATGGCTTCTCTCCAGTATGTATTCTCTGATGCTGAATGAGGACTGAGCTCTGAGTGAAGCTTTTCCCACATTCATTGCACCTGTGACGTCTCTCTCCAGCAGAGTTTCGATGTTGTTTTTTTACCCTGCTGTCATGTTTACAAGTTTCTCTGTACTTAGAATCCAGAGGAAAATCTCTTTGGAGTTTGCTATCCCCAAAATGTTCCATTTCTTTTAAAACATCTTGCTGCAATGCCAACTCCTGGTTTTCAGACACAGTTTCACCACCTAGAATAATAAATGGACTAAGCAATGTCATTCATTTAGGAAAGACCACTATCACAGGATGGGAATGGAAAGATCTATTATATCAGACAGATATATTCCAAGAATGCAAAACTGGCAATGTAATGTAAAGAGGTGTTAAATGGGCACCAGCACTACTGAAACAGCTGGAGAGGATCACCCAGAGAAGGTGAGGCTCCCAGAGAGGATACACAAAAACAAGTACAACAGAATATTCACTGAAAGATAGGCACAGTTTTAAGTATTGAATACATACTAACTTGTTAAATTCTCAATTAACCCTTTGAGGTACTATGATTATCCCCATTTCATAGATGCAGAAAAGGAAGGCAAAGGGAGGTTATCTGATCTGTCTATTGTCAAGAGCTACTTAGTAGCAGTGCTTAAATTCCAATACATAAAATTTGGTTCAGAGTCCACAGCCTTATTAACATCCTATATAGAGCCACAAGAGATCTCCTAAACAGACTTGCCAAAGTCCTTACCTTGTTCTCGAAATTGGTGAAGGCCGAAAGATTCATACTTGAGCTGTGTCATCATGAACTGAACCTGGATGACTGTTGATTCCTGCTTGGCCTTGAGAAGTACCATATCTTCTGAGAGCACTTTAGAATGTTCATGCTCCTAATCTGGGACCTGAAGCAGGTATATTTGGGTTCATAAAAGAAGGACTATGGGAGCAGCCTAAGCTAATATTTAATGAAAGAGATCACATGGAACCACATGAGACATTTTCTTAAGGAATGGCTCAATGCAAGGACCAGAGTTTAATTTCAAACCCAAGAGAAGGGAGAAAACAAGAGTGTGATAGTTTAAAATAGGTCAAGTTTCTTCAATAATCCTCCCTTTAAAAGGTAGAATCTAATTTTCTTCCCCTTAAGTGTGAGCTCTACTGGACAGATCTCTTCAACTGAATAATAGGTGTGGTAGAAGTGATGGTATATAACTTTTGTTTCAAAAAAGTCTTGTGGCTTTTTCCTTTCTCTATCTCCTCTGGAGGAAGCTAGCTAACATGTCATGAAGACACTCTATCAGCCCTAGGAAGAGACCTACATAGTGAAGAACAAAACCTCCTGCCAACAGTCAGAGAGCAACTGAGGCTACTGACAAGCATATAAGTGAGCCATCTTGCAAATGTATCCACCAGTCTCAGTCATGTCCTCAGGTGACTACAGTCATGGTTAACATCTTTACTGCAACCTCACAAAAGGTCCTCCTAAGCAGCTTCTAATTCCTGACTCACAGAAACTATTAAATAACATAACTGCTGTTTTTTTAAGCTGTTAAGTTTTAGGACTAATTATTTACACAGCAACAGAGAACTAAGACATATAACTATAGCCAATCAACCTATGAAATCAAACTTCACCCTTCAAATAGTATTTAAGGTCTAGAAGCCCATCTTCCTCCTCTCACTTGTTTCCCAGGCTCATTAAACTCTTGCTCCGATCTTCAACCACAGCCATCGCCTCCTCCCCACTCTCTGGATGCTGCTCTCGCACCCAGGCCTGCAGCTCCTCAGGCAGGATGGTCAGGAACTGCTCTAGCACAAGCAGCTCCAAGATCTCCTCCTTAGTGTGAGTCTCTGGCCTTAGCCACTGATGACAGAGTTCCCGGAGCCGGCTTAGAGCTTCTCGAGGACCAGGGGTCTCTTGATAACAAAACTGCCTAAACAGTTGGCGTGAGGCCTCCTGGCCAGAAAAGCTGTTCACTTGAAGGTAGGATTTTTGATCCCAGAGTGGGTCTTCTTCCACCTTCACAATCTTAAACTCATCCTGTTGCTCTGTTGAAGCCATTCTGGAATTAATTTAGAAGGTTCAAGCCAGCTTGAGATGAAGGAAAAACTGATTTAAGATTCTTTGATTTAATCTTCTTAAGGAGGACACACCTAATGATAGAACATTATGTATCAATGGAACATAAGGAAGCAGTGGGAAAAATACAAAGAATAGGAATAACAATTAGAATGCTATCATTTATGTTAATAAAATGTATGCATAGATATTTGCTCACATGTGTTTAGAAACTGGAAAAAGGATATGGCAGAGTACATTAATGTACTGTGAGGCACACTCCTGGAGTAAGCAGGAGAGCTCTTCCTAAATGTGGGCATCAGTTTCTATGCATTACCTGTAATCCACAGAGAATTAATTCCACAAATATTTACTAAGTGCCTGTTATGTGTTACACAGTAAACAAGGAGTGAAGAAACCAAGAGTCTGTGTCCCCATTTTCTTTCACTGAAATAAAAACATGGCAGAAAGTATAAAAGTTCTTTTCTCATTAGCTTCAGCATTTTTAACAACAACAAAGAGATCATGTAAATCATAAACCACCTGTATTGTAAAATAATCCAAAAGGATAACCAATTATGGTGACAAGGAAACAGAGGAACAACTTAAATACCATTAAAAAAAAAAAAAAACAAGCAAATCCAGAAACAGAATCCTCTGTAGAAAGACTAGTGGAGTCTCTTCAACAAAGCAATGGGATAGGAAGACGGGAGTGGGGCTGGAATGTAGTTCAGTGGTAGAGCCTTTACCTAGCATTCGTGAGGCCCTGGATTCGAGCCCCAGCACCAAAAAAGAAAAGTCCAAATAAACAAAAAGAGGGGAAAGGAGGATTATACTAGATTAAAAGAGATTTAAAAACTACATGCAAGAAGTGGTCTATAATTGAATCGTGGGGGAAGGGGATTTGACCATGAACTAAACTAGGTGTCTGGATATTAGAGAATGCTCCTAGTCTTAGCCGAGTCTGATAAAAAATGTGGTTATGAAGGAAAATATCCTTAGAGATGCATTAGGAACTATTCAAGGTGTGCCAAGTTATGATATTAGTAATTTATTTTACATGGTTTAAAAAAAAATACATGCAATAAATGCCCCATAATGCTAACATTTGTTAAATAAAGGTGATGGGGGTGGGGCTCAACAGTAGAAAGCATGCTTAGCCCTGAGTCCAACTCCCCAGCACCAAAAATTTTTAAAAAGAGAGATGGTCCTCCCGCTCCCTCGCTTTCTACCTCGGGACCTCGGGTTGGGCCAGGAGGCTGGGACCTCTCCGGTGTCACCCACAGCCGCTGCAGGCCCGGTGGGTGCCGGCCGCGCCTGCGCAGACCTGCCCGCCCCGCCCCGCCCCCTCCAAGGCAAGGCCTTCCACTCGCGGAGCCCAGGCTGTCACCTCGGCGATCCAGGGAATCCCGGGACCCCGCGGCGCGGCTGCTGCTCTCCAGGAACAGCAGCGGCTGTGACACCTCGGTGACTACGTCCTCGCAAAGCTCGGTGCGAGGCGGAGGGATTCTGTGTGGAGCCTCTGGGAGCGACGTGGACACAGAAACGCAAAACGCTGGGGCGGGAAGGAGCTTCCAAGTCCCTCTACTAGTCATTCTGTCCCCGACCTCGGATCTCTTTGACATCATAAAGGGGAGAGGGATAGGGTGGGAGGACGATAATACAACATGGTTGCTGTTTTATTTTGGTGTTCTCTTTTTCTCTCAACCTTTGTCTTCTGGAATCTCAAAGTCTAGGAGGAGATGGGCACGTAAACAAGTAACTGCATAGGACACGCGTGCGACATGAAGTAAAATATTTGCAAACGGGTTAGACTAGTAAATTCTGTGTACGTATAACAGGTACTTGGAAACTATAGCTGAAAAGTACTGACTCCTCACTTGAGCCCACAAGGGAACTAAAAGCAGGATAAAGACCTGGTATCCCTGCCTTCATTTGGGGGATCGGATACCTGCTCAACTCTGCAGATAGACACGTTGATCATTCAAGAAATGTCTGTCAAAAAACTCGTCACACCCAGCCCTATCTCTTAACCCAGGACTGCCAGCTTTTACTGCATCCTTCTCCGGACTCCCTGAAAAGAGCACCAGTGGGCCCAGCACTTCGCAGCTATTTTCAATTCTTGTCTGGCTTCCAGCAACAGGCAGCGCTGTCTCGCAGTGTTACAGCTGCTGACCAAGCTTCAGGTGTTGGGACCTTTACCTCCTTGGGCAATAGTGTTGTTCTCAGGCTTACAGTTCTCAACACCCTTGGCCTTGACAGCAGCTAGTGTTAGAGTTCTCCAGCCTAGGGTGACTGAGATCCTTGGTCCTTAAGTCTTTGGCAGCTCTCTGGAACTCTTCCAGCAAACGGGCCACAGTTTCTCATTTTCAGCTCCTCACACCCTTCATTGTCTCTGCTGTGTCTACTCCCCACCCCAAGTTGCTCTCTGGAACTCTTTTTTTAGCTGCCCTCTTGCTGCTGCTACTTTGGACACTACCACCACTCTGCTGCTGTGGTCTGCATCTCATGTTACCAGCTCAGCCTACTCTACTAAGGATACAAATCAAAAGTAGGCAAGAAGAGACCACTTGAGAGAAGCTGAAAAATGGACCTAATCTTGGTGTCTTCTGGCTGGCTCAAAAAGTGAGCCAAACAACGTGCTTCTATAGCCAGAAAGGTCTATACAGTATAGTCCTAATGCTTGGTCACCAAGGGAAGTACTCCTTTGGTGTACTTACCCAGGCCCCTTCTGGCCTGAGTAAGAATGGCTGCTAGAGTTCACTGAGGCTTCAACAGCACAAGCTGTATGAAACAGTTATGGCTAGTTAGGCTTTCTGGAGCCAGAGTTGTGCTTTTACCATAAGCAGCTACAGTGACCCTGTAGTTTCCTCAATGCACTGGAGTGTTAAAAGCAGCCAGGCTGAAACGAGGACAGTTGGGTCAGTTGCTTGGGTAATATGCCTCTGCTTAAGGCAGCCCAGGAACCAGGCAAGAAGGGTCTGACAGCTGTGATTTAGGAAATCAAATCCCTAAGCCCTCAATAGTTTAGCTTATTTAAAGGAATAATGAACATTAAAAGTGATGCTTACAATAAAGGTCTATCATTAACACTAATAGTGTGTTAACATTTAGCAGTGCTTTACTCTTAACCAGATACCCCAGGGGAAAGTTGGGTTATTTTAGCTGCCCTTAGGAGAACTCTATTGCCCCCTTAAGCAAGACTATCTTGCAGAACCAGAATTGAGATGTTGATTAAAATCCTTTCCTACAACTTCACCATTACTTTTGTTTTCTATCTTTGGGACAAATGGCTGAACCTGACATGTTGGAACTCCCAGAGTCAGGCCTATGGCCTAGGACTCCAGTTACCTAAGTATACAGAAAATAAATCTATACATTAGGAAGAATTTGTGGCACAGATGAGAGAAAAACCAGTGGAGCAAAATAAGAGCCATAATTTCCAATGTACAGAGGAAAAGGAGAAAAAAAAAATTCTGGAAAGGAGAATGGATTATACAAAAACCAGGACTGGGGCAAGATGCTTGGGTGCATACAAAGAATTGGGGTGATCATCATTGCTGGAAAGTAGAATAAGTAGCAGGAGATGCTAACTTTTCCTGGTACCCTAATCCAGGAATTTGGGCAATATGGTCAAATCTGTATTTAGGCATGCCATTGTGATAGCCTTGTAGAACACACAAAGGAAGGAAAATAAGAAAGGAAGGAAGGAAAATAAGGGAAATAAGAACACAGGCAAGGAAACAAGATAGATTTTTACAAAGTGAAAATATAGGCAGGGAAGCCAGTAAGAAGACTGCCATAAGAATCCAGGTAAAGATAATGACGGTCAAAGTCAAGGCAGTAGCCACAGCAATGGAAGGGGACAGATAATACATATCAAAAGGTTTAATTGATTTTTATAAGTTCATTTACTCATTGTACAAATTCTGTTTAATGAACTCTTTGTGTCAATGGTTTGCTCTGGGGACTGGATATAATAATGATGAGGAACACAAGGTCCCCACCCTCACAAAACTTGTGATAGAAAGAGGAATTGAGAGGGAGATCCAGCTTATACAATTTGGGAAACCCTCTTTAAGAAACAGAATTCAATGGGCTGGGGGAGTGGCTCAAGTGGCAGAGTGCCTGCCTAGAAAGCACAAGGCCCTGAATTTAAGACCCAACCCCCCAAAAAAGTGAAAATAAAAAAAGGATACAGAAGAAACGGAATTCAAAATCATAAAAACAAATACAGATATAAAAATGGAGATTTAGAATGGAAAATTACATTATGTTACAAATTTTAAAGTCTTCCAAACATCACAAGCAAAAATCAGGAAAGTAATAGTTTTAGTATTTAAATGCCTGACACATTTCACTAATTAGTTGACTTTATATTCATGGACTTCTTCTCTGTATATTAATTTATAACTTAAGTTTTTAATTAATTAATTTATTTGTTGGCAGTACTGGGGGGTTGAACTCTGGGCCATGCTCTAGTTATGCAGGCACTCTATCACTAAGGCACTGTGTCAACCCAAATTTTTCTAGAAATAATAAAAAGATACTGTAGTCTTTAACATGGCTGGTTAAAAAACATTATTTATTTATTTATTTGTTGGTGGCACTGGGGTTTGAACACAGGCTTCACACTTGCTAGGCAAGCACCCTTACTGCTTGAACCATCCACCACCCCTTTCTTTATGATTTTTTTCTTTTTTTGAGATAGGGTCCGGTGGACTTTTTGCCCAGGGATGGCTTTGAACAGAGATCCTCCTTATCTCTGCTTCCTGAGTAACTGGAATAATAGGGATGAGCCACCAGCACCCACCTTACAAGTATTTTGGGTAAATGATCAAGTTTCTTTCAATTATGAGCTATGAAATTTCAGAACATTTTAAGTTTTTTGTCTGGGGAATAATTTCAGAATTTTTGTGTTGATTACACTTAACTAGTTGGTCTTGATGTCCTTATTGTCAATGCATGTCACATTTTCTTTGTCAGTGTTGCTATTTTATTCAAGTGTGCAAAAATTTTAATTTTTGCAATGTGCTCATTGAGGAGTTATTTACTTCTCTTCATTAATTAGACTGTTGATCAATCTAAGAGTATATTAATCTATTCAAAATGACTTTTCCTCTTAATGAATTAGTGCTTTCATATAAACTGAAATTGTTTTTGTGTTTTGTTATAATTTACTTCCTGAAGTCAGAATAATTTCTATTTTTTTGTTTCTCACATTCCATTAATTTCTTTAAATTTAAATTTGTTTTTGTTTTGTTTTGGGTTTTTTTTTTTTTGGATGGTACTGGGGTTTGAACTCAGGCCTTCACACTTGCTAGGCAGGTTATCTACTGCTTGAGCTACAATGCCAACCTTCAATTGTTTAATTATTTTTATTTTATAGCTTTTCATTTGCTTCTTATGAAAATATCTTTACAAATTGAAGTTCAAATGACTTATTTCCAACAATTGTCCCCTTACCAGATGCCAAAATTGTCTGTCAGGATTTCAGTGCCACTAACAAGAGGAAAACATGCAAAGGGGAGTCTGATGCGAACATGCTCTGTAGTCCTTATGCTGTAGCCAGGCATCCTCACACGGGGCAAAGAGGCTCTGCGAGCCTCTTTTATAAGAACACCAATTATGTTCATGATGGTTGACCTCTCTCGACCCAACTACCTCCCAAAGGCCACACCTTTTAATATCATCACCTAGGGGGTTAAGTTTTAACATGACTTTTTTTTTTGAGTTTAAACTCAGAGACTTCTGCTTGCTAGGCAGGCACTCTACCACTTGAGCCATTCCCCCAGCCCATTTCGTTTTGGTTATTTTTTAAATACAGTCTTAGCATTTATGGGCTGGCTCACCCGCACCTCCAGTCTCCTATTTGTGCTTATCGAGTAGCTGGGATGACAGATGGGCACCACTACATGCAGTTTTTATTGGTTAAGATGGGGTCTCATGAACTTTTCACCCAGGCTTGCCTCAAACTGCAATCCTCCCAATCGTCTACTCCTGAGTAGCTAGGGTTACAGGCACACTGCCTGACCTCAACATATGATTTTTGAGGAATCACAAATATTCAGGCTATAGGGCTGGAGTCAGCAAGGGAGGGGCTCAGCTCAGAACTAGAAGAGAGTGCCCTAGCTTATGACTTTCCACTCTGGGAAAAGAGAAGACATTGGATTTTCCAGGGGAAGGGAGAAATAGAAAGCAACACAATAATAGGAAATTTAAATAGTCCACTTTCAGTAACAGATCACTCATTCATGCCAGCAACCTTACTGGAATTGACTTCTGTGTGACATGTGAAGTAGAAATCCAATTATATTTTATTTCTCCATTTGGATATCCAAATGTCATAGTACTATTTGTCAAGTAGGTCCTTCTTTCCCTGAGTGATTTGGAAGGCTACTTCTGTCATACATCAAGCATCTGTATACAGATGTTTATTTCTCAGTTCTTAGTTTTGCTACACTGATCTGTAGTTCTGTCAGCACTACACTATCTTAACGACTATACATTTATAGTACCTTTTTATATGAGCTAGGGCAAATTTCTGCATCTCCTTCATTTGCTCAAAAAATTCCTTGAATCTTCTTCACTCTTTTGTTATTCCATATAAATTTAAAATAGACCAATCAAGTTCTACAGAGCACACTATTGGGATTTTGATTGGCTTTGCGCTAAATTATGTATTAACTGAGAAAGGAATGACATCTTCAAGATACCAAGTTGTCCTGTACACAGACATAGTGTATATTGCAATTACCTATCCTTAATAAAGCTTTATAGTGTCTTAATTGAAGCATCTGTATTTCTTTCCTCCTGTAATTGTCTTTTTAAAATTGTTTTCTAACTTGTGATGGTGATGGAAAATGTAATTGTGAATACCATTTTTTTAATACAGCAACTGTGCTAAACTTATTAATCATCATAATTTGAGTGTTAGATTGTCTTGGGTCATGCTCCTTATAAATAATGTTTTAATTATGTAATGCAATTAGCTCTAAAAATTTAAAAAGTGTATGTTAACACTCTTCCTCTCACCCTTGTATTCTCTTTTCACTCAGTTTCTAATTCACCTGTGACAGGTGATCACTATTATTAATTTTCTTAGGTATTTTCCCAGGGTTTCTTTGTGACTACACAAGCATTTTTTTCTCTTCTATCTATTCATAAAGGCAGTAAACACACAGAATTTGGGCCTTGCTCTTTTCCCTTTGTTATCACTGGAAAAATCATCTTTCAAAAGTCTCTTTAACAGCAAAGAGGGGAAGGGAGGAGGAGAGGTGGGAAGCCAGCAAACGACCGAGTGCCTGTCAGGGAGGTGGCTAGAGAGGCCCGGAAGTGGCCTCGGTGCCCCGCCCTGCGGGTGGCTTGCTACTTTCGGACACTTTTGTGAGTATGGGGTGAGTGGGAGACACCGTTGGGCGCCCGCTTTGCTGTGGGTTAGGTCCCCTCCCGTGGCTGTCCTGCCAGCCTGCGGTTCTTTTGTTCCGGGCAGGGTGCGTTTGCGGGCATCTGTGTGTGGAAAGCAGCCTTTTCCCGGCGGGTCCCCGCAGCCGGGGCTCCCAGGGAGGGAGGGAGACCCTGGGACGGGCGCGGCCGGGATGCGCTTGCGGCGAGTCCCGCGTGGGCACCCTGGGCACCTGGTCGAGGGCCTTCTCCGGGCGTCTGGGTTTGGTCCCTCGGGGCGTTTGGAGATGGGATTCTTGGGTCCCCTAGGTGAGCTTTGATAATGGGAGCGGTTACCTTTTTGCCGTTCCTGGAGATAAGGTCGGTTCCAGGGTCTTTACATTATTCTTGTGTTACTGGACCAGAGCCAGAATTTTGGAGTCGGAATGCCCGATTGGAATCCGGCCTTCACCACTTATTGTCTGGGTGACTTCTGCCCACTATTTAAACTTTTCTGTGTCTTATTTTATTGCTTTTTAAAACGAGGAACAGGTTATCACCTAGCTCACTGGGTTGTGAGGATTAAATTAGTATGTGTAAGGTGCTTAAAATAGTACCAGACACAAAATAGGCACGATTTAAAGATTTGCTATTACTGTTCTTAAGATTACTACTTTTCTAACTATGACAGCATATTACCTTCAATGAGGAGTCTTGGTGACTAGCTTTTTGTTACTGATTTTTTAATTTTAGTATCATCATCAGAAATGGATGCTTTCTGAATTTTAGGAGGGAAAAATAAGATATTTTGAAGAATTGTCAATCCCAAAACAGACAAAAAAATTCGTTTTGCTGTGCATTGTGATGCTCAGACTCACAATGTTTTAAAACTTGGGGACACGTTTTCTTTGGCTTGAAACTCAGGAGGAGCAAGAGAGGTCTCTAACAGTGAGGAAGGACTAGGACTCCTGGTGTAAGCAGAAATCATCTGTCTTGCTCAGTGCTGGGGATCTGCAGGTTTTCTCCCAGAGGGAGACATGAATATTACCTGAGTTCATGCTAAACCCTACTTTCAACTTCAACATCACAGGCTTCGGTGTAGTATTCTCTTTTCTATATGTGTAACTTTCTTCTGAGCATGAGGAACCTTGCCTTCATTGCCTTCAATGTATTTACTTATCTGAGAACATTTCCTATTTGTAAACAATTTCCTATTCCTTCTTATTCTGCTCATTTGGGCTTAGGCCCCAAATAGGACAGGTGGTGAAGCCTGAATGAGGGCTGGAGAATAACTAGTAGAAATGTTTCAGCCCTGATTTTCCTGCCGTAGCCTCCCTCCTCTTGCCCCCTGGACAACCTCCTCACTTCACTTGGGCTTCAGATTTACTTTGGGCTGACTGTGGCCTTCTATCTCACCTCCCTTGGCCCCACCTAAATGCTTTGGAATGCGTTATTCAGGAACAAAGAAAGGTAAGATTTTTATCTCATTTTTAAAATTGTTTTGGGGAAATTTCAAACATAAGTATAGAGAAGAAATTACAAGTGGCCCCAAATGAGTATTGCCATTACTCAACTTCAACAACCATCGTCTCTTGGCATTTTCTTTCATTCTTTTCCCTCTCCTCCTCTTTCCTTCCATTTCTCCCTTCTTCCCTTCCTCCCTCCCTTCTCTTTTTCATGCCTCCTTCCTTCTTTCCCTCTTTTGTCTTTGTCTCCTCCTTCATCTCGCTTCCCTTTCTTTCATTTATAGAAAATTGGAGGCCAAGACATCCTATCAGTCTATCCATGGATACAGGCACTTCAGTGCTAATTTCTTACCTATAGGGGCTTTTATATTAACTATGTATCATTACACAGGGAACAAAATTGACAGTAATCCCTTAATATCATTGTGTTCAAGCTTTCCTGATTAGTTCACCATTTTGTTTATTTGCTAAGTCTATTCAGTCTCTTTTAAAGTCTATAACAATCCCCTTTCTCACCCTCTCTTTTTTTTTCAATATTGTGGTTGAACTCAGGGCCTCATGCTTGCTAGGCTGGTGCTTTACCACTTGAGCCACTCTGGTAGCCCTCTCCCCCTCCTTTTAAAACAAGTCTATTTGCTGAAGAGCCTGGGTCTTCTAAACTATAAAGTATCTCACATTCTGGCTGATTGGCTTTTTTTAGTATCTTTAAATTATTAGTTCTTGAACTTACCTACACTTTGGAATCATACAGCAAGTTTTAAATATCACTGATATCTGAGACCCACCCCCTGAGTCTGATTTAATTAATCTTGGTTGCAGCCAGGGATCAGGAAGCTGTAAAGGTTCCCCCAGGGAATCTAATGTGTAGCAAAGTTTGAAAACCTTTCATTTGATTTGCTCTTATATTTTACCTGCACACTAGCATCTGGATCTGAAGACTTGATTAGGTTTAGGCTCACTTATTTGGGTAATATTAGCTCACGTAGTATTGTACCATATCTATAGCAGCTCATTAGGGGAAGTATTTTCTGGCACTTTTCCTTTATAACAATTGACGAATTTTTCAGTTTCCTAACTTCCTTCCATCTCTGTTATCCTTTGAACTATAGAAAGATGGAAGAAGAATCAAAAATTCAGTGGGGGTATGGACTTGGAAGCATTTTTCCCTTAGTAACCTCTACCAATCTTACATTTTCTAGCCTCTCCATCCCACAGAGCAACTCACTGACATCTCAGCTCAATCAATTCTGTTTAAAATCTAGTTTCATCTGGTTCAGGTCTCCCTTTCCTTTTAGGACAAGCAAGGGTCTCATGGCTCCTGGGAACACCTTTCAAGAGAGGGATTAACCTGTGAGAAACTGAGGCATGGAATGGCTAAGAAGTAATAGGTCCAAGGTCAGATAGGTAATAGTGGCAGAGGTGGGATTTGAATCCAGTATCCATATTCTGACTATGACATGGGATAATTTGCCCAGCCTGGTTTGGCATTGGTTATGCATACTGCTGTCTGTGCTGTGAGACACATTAGGCAGCATCTGAATGCTCATTTGTCACTCATCTTGGCAGCCTTCTAACCTCCAAAATTCCATAGTGAGGGAAAGGCAGGACATCTTTCCCTTTACCCTTATGAGACTCCCCATGTACCTCCCCAGGAATTTCTGCAAGGGTGGTAGACCCCAGTCCCTGTTTCCATCCACCTGCTGCCTGGTGTTCAGCCAAGTGAAGCTTAGGAATCCTTATGTTAGCTGTTTCTGTTCCCTGGCAGCAGCCTTTGCTCTTACCCACCTGCTAGATGATTCCCTTTTCTTGTTTGTAAGCCACAGGCCCATAAATTTATGGCACTGCAACATATCAGCAGATTTTCTAATCTAGAATTCTACATTTTCACTCTTTATGGCAGTCATTTTAAGCCCTCAAGCAGAGTCTGGAGTTGTTTTTGATTGTCATGACTAGGGTGGATGATGTTATTAGTGGGTAGCAGCTAGGAGTGCCACTAAATGTCCTAATTTACAGAACAAGTCCTCCTGCTCTCCATGACACAGAATTACTCCCACCTAAAATGACAATGAGAAACCTGACTACAGAAATGACTGTTAGCCTAATGCTTTTACATTCATTCATCCTTTTACTTAAAATCCAACCTTATTCTGTGTGTACTATGTCACTACCTGGGGAATACAAAGATGAATAAGCTAAGGACAGACCGTGTTCAAAAAACTTGCACTCTGCCTGGCACTGGTGGCTCACGCCTATAATCCTAGCTACTTGGAAGGCAGACATCAGGAGGATTGCAGTTTGAGGCCAGTCTGGGCAAAAATAGAGACCCTGTCTCAAAAAATTCCCAACACAAAAAGGTTTGTGGAGTGGCTCAAGTGGCAGAGTGCCTACCTAGGAATTCAGGACCTGAATTCAGACACCTGTACCACCAATAAACAAACAAACAAAACAAAAACACTTATACTCTATCAGCATGAGTAATTTTTCACAGAAAGCAAGGATTAACAAATAGTATTGTTGGATTTGGGGGTGAGGGGGGCTGTGCTGGGGATTGAACTAAGCGAATGTATCTCCAACCTCCAGCTTGTTTTTTTTTTTTTTTGGCGGTACTGGTGTTTGAACTCAGGGCCTACACTTTGAGTCACTCCACCAGCCTTTTTTTGTGATGGGTTTTTTTCAAGATAAGATCTCATGAACTATCTGCCTAGGCTGGCTTGGGACAGCAATCCTCCCGATCTCTGCCTTCTGAGTAGCTAGGATTATAGGTGTGAACTACCAGTGCCCAGCTCTTACTTATTTTGTACCGAAGAGAGGAAGTGCTATGGGAGAAGGCAGTCATCTGTCCTAAGCTGGTTGAAAATGGCTCTAGAGAGGAGGGGACATTTAAATTGGGTTTGGGAGCTTGAATACTGTTTACTGTGCAGAGATATGGCAATAGGGATGTAAATACTGTACTAGCAGTAAACAGCTTGGCAGGTCAGCTGCTGACCTCTTGCAAATTCAGGGAAACTTTGTGCCTATTTAAAAAAACAGACGACTGACTGGGAGCATGACCCAAGTGTATAGGTTCAAGTGCCAGTACTCTAAAAAAATTAAATAAATAAAAATGAAAACAAAAAACCAGATGCCTCTATTGAGTATACGTAGTCTGGAGGGTCCAGGTTTGTGAGCGGTAACTGAGCTCCTACTAGTATCCCTTCAACTGGGTGCTCTGAGCAATGCACAACATGCATGACCCTGTGATATGCCCATATTTCATAGGACTCACCAGTTCATGGGAGCAGAAGATCAGTGGGGTATGTTGTAAAAATTGGTGCTTTATCTGGCAGGTGAATGCCTTGGTTAGGTATTTTAGAGAGCTCTCTGGTAGCAGCCAGAGGATGAAGTAGGAAGTTGGTAGGGTTGGAAGCACTTAGCAGGCTGGAGACAATTACAAGGGCCTGTGCCATGCTGATAGCAGGGAGGATAGAGAGAAGGAACAGATCCGAGACATTCCAGGGGTAAAATAGATTGCAGTAAGTGACCCATGTGGAACTGAATAAGAAGAGCAAGATTCTGCGGAAGCCTAGCAGGTGGTACTGCAGTAGCTAAAAATGCCATACTGGGGAAGGAATAGGAGAAGCAGCAAGAAAATCGGTTTGGTTTGGGATGATCGAATTGGATGTTTGCAAGATTTCCAGGTAGAACTGTCTGGAAGGCAGCTCAGGATAGGGATGAAGAATCCTTAGCTTAGAAATAGGAGTTAAAATCTTGCAAGTGATTCAAGAATATGGAAAGAAGGGCTGGGGGACTGGATCAAGTGGTAGAGCACTTGCCTAGCAATTGTGAGGCCCTGAGTTTAAACACCAGTATAACCCCCCCCCAAAAAAATGCAAAGAATGAGGAAAGAGAAAAGGATCAAGAACACACTCTTACTTAAAAGAAGAACAGCTCCGTGAATTATGCTATTAACTGACATTAATATAGTACTTACCACATGCTAGATACTATTCTAAGAGCTTCATACATAAACTTAGTGCTCAGCTGTCTGCTATTATGCTTTCTACAGATAAGAAAATGAGGCACAGAGATACATACTTTACGGAGATCACCCAGATCAAGCCAGGATAGTTAGGAAAGTCTGTGCACCTAACCAGACTGTGATGGAGTGCTGAGGACAGATACAAAGAAGGCAAACAGGAGAGAACAAGGTTCCTGGATGTAGGAACAAGTGAGTTTCTGGAAGCAAATGGCAGCATTAGTTTGGTCACCTAAATAGCCAACTGAAGGAAATACCTCTGGTTACTTCTGCAGGAGCAGCCTTAGGGCCTTCTCATGGTCTGCTGTCTATCGTGTTGAAGGCTTAGTGGGAGGTGAGAACTGGATTCTGAGCCTGGAGGGCTTTCTTTCAGGAAGTTTGGCCCTGAAGGGGAGGAAAGAGAGTGGCAGATGGGAGGATGTCAAGGCCCAGGGACAGCCCTTGCACTCTCCAGGGCACGGACTTGATGTGCCCTGCTTCTTTGATGTTTCTGAGAGAAACAGAAGTTCTTCCAACTAAAAAAGCCTAGGGAAGCTCTACTTTCAACTGAATTTAAGCATCAATTTTAGGTCATTTGTTTGGGGGAATCTTACATGAGAGAAACTAGAGTATCACTAACAAGCAACCAGGGTTTAAAACTTCAGTGGTATTTCTTCTGATGTAGGGCCTGCCATCTTTTTTTCCCCTTTCCCTAAGTGTGACTTGACCACAAAGAAAACCTACTATCCTTTTTCCTATTGTTGCCTAATAGTTTACCAGACATTTACAGCTTAAAACAAAAATCTATTTATTCCAGTTCTGTAGATCAGAAAGTCAGGCAGACTCAGCTGAGTTCTCTGTTTAAGGTCTTCTAAAGCCAAAATCAAAGTGTTGGTAGAGCTAAGCTCTGCTTTACAGACTCTGACATGGAATCCACTTAAAAGTTCATTGAGGTTGTTGGTAGAATTAAGTTGCTTGTCATCAGTCTGATCATTCTGATGAGCTATCTCATATTCAAAGTCCTACCCTGGACATGATGGTGTACCCCTATAATCCCAGCATTTGTCAGGAAGTGGAGGCAGGAGGATAAAGAGTTCCAGGCCTGGACTACATAACAAGATCCTGTCTTAAAAATTAAACCAAAATGAAGTGCTGGGGACTGGGCAGGAAACCCTTGGGGTCATCTTAGAATTGGACTAATCACAGACCTGGTTGCTGAGGGACCACTCTTAGCCAATCCCTGAGGGGCTTCCTAGAGAGTTCAAGAAGAGCTCTGGGTCTTCACTGAAAGTTGAGTGTTCTCTCTTAGTCAAGGGTGTGGGAGGTGTTCAGGTCTACTCCCACAGACATCCTTCCCGGAGCTTACTGTGGGGTTCAGGTTTGTGTGATGAATCATCTACTTATGAGGCCCAAGAGGCACTTGAACATAAAGAAATCTCCACAGTTACATCATAGATGTAACAGGCATTTCCACCTTTCAGGAATCTCTTGAAAACCTACAGGTGTCGCGGGAAAACTGCCTTGTCTAAAGATGGCGAGACAATCGAGGGAAAGCGCAGCTCTGGATGACCAATCTGCTGAAGACCACATGGGGCTTCTGGTCATAAAAGTGGAGGAGGAAGAGGCTTCCACCTTTGCTGAGACCAGTTCGCCAGGCAGCCCCGCCCGGGGCCCCGAGCACTGCCGCCAGCGCTTCCGTGCGTTCCGCTACCCCGACGCTGCGGGGCCCCGGGAGGCGCTGGGCCGCCTGCGGGAGCTCTGCGGACAGTGGCTGCGGCCAGATGTGCACAGCAAGGAGCAGATCCTGGAGCTGCTGGTGCTGGAGCAGTTCCTCACCATCCTGCCCGGGGACCTGCAGGCCTGGGTGCGGGAGCAGCATCCAGAGAGTGGGGAGGAGGTGGTGGTGCTGTTGGAGTATCTGGAGAGGCAGCTGGATGAGCCTATGCTGCAGGTAGAAAGAACGGGGTTTAGTATCTGAGAGCTCTGCTCCGTGCATCCTGAAATCTCAAAATCCCAGCGAAGGGCATTCCTTAAGATGCAGGAGTTCTCCGTCGCTTTGTACCCTTGCACTAAGGCAAAATACCCTGAATCTCTTCTTAGATATTATGCTTAAATACATAAAGGAATGTAAAGGATTGCAAGAGAACTCAATCTTACTAAAATTCAGTTAGCAAAATATCAAACAAATTTGTGATAAAGTTATTATATATGTGCTTTTAGTTAATGTGCTGAATAAGACACCTAGGGACGAGCTAATAACTGGTCATTTCAAAGAGGTGATAATTGTGAATGACTTTGAAGATATTTTCTTGTTCTAATGTGCTGTGGAAGCATTTGCGGTTTCAACTGGTGACAAAGTACTGCAACTGCTTATGCCATGTTAATTTGCTGCTTCTATTCATAATTGAAAGAAATGCTAATTTTTTTTTTCTTAGAAACTAGTAAGACTAGTTTTTTTCTATCCAAGCCTATCCTTTTGGTAGAAAATGGATCAGTTTTTACTTCCATCTTCTGGCCTGTTTTATGAGACTATTTCCTCTTTGCATCATTCAGACCTTGTACACCTTCTTTCAGAGGACACATGGCCAGAACCTTCTAGCCAGTGACCAGATCACTAAAGTTCTTGAGTTAGATCTGTAACAGTGAAAAAAAATCTCAAGTCTCAGCTTAACTCCAAAAGGATGTGGAAAATTCTGAGCTGCACACGAGAAAGTAACCTGAAAAACTATAATGTAACTGGAAGGAAACCTGAATTTAATACCCATGTCAGGTCCAGTTAGGTGATTTCACTTACTGTCATTTTGTTTACTGGTTCCAACAACTATATAAACTAGAAATTATTATCCTTAATTTTCAGATATAAAAGATGTTACTATTTTTAAAGATTTTCTCACTATTTTCCAAAGGGCTTTCATAAGCACACAAATACGTGTAATAAGGCATAGTGTAAAGGTTAAGTGTGGACTCTGGAGTAATTTTACATGAGCATCCATCTTAGCATTGTCAGTTACTGACTGAATGACCGTTAACTCACTGTGCCTCAATTTCCCCATCACAAAATGAGGATAACAGTATCTCCCTTATAAAGTAGTTGTTGTCTTTGTTAAATGAGTTTATATTTATTTTGGAGTTTTCTTTTTTGGCAGTATTAGGCAGGTGCTCTATCACTTGAGCCACACTGTCAGCCCTGAGTTTGCATTTATAATGCTTTTGGAAGCAGTGCCAGGTACTGCTGTAGTGCTGTAGATGTGTCTGATGAATCAGTGAAAATAAAAATAAATGAATGACTTCTAGGTCCCAGGTGGTGATCAGGAGCAAGAACTACTCTGTTCCAAGGTGGTACTGTTGACATCAACCCAAATCACACAAAGTAGCCAATTCCAGCCAATGAAGCCTCTGTTCAAACAAGAATCTCTGGGATCCCAGCCTTTACAAGACAGAGGTGAGTATTATCCAGGCTATATGATTTTTGTGTGTGTGTGGTGCTGAGGATCAAAGTCAGCCTTACACATGCTAATCAGTCTACCACTGAACTACATTCGCAAGCTCTTGCATGGTTTTGCATATCTACAGAGAATAAGATCTCTTAGGCTATAGGATTAGATCTGGTAGGGATCAAGTATTTTGGAAAGGAATTTAGTCTGTATAAATTTGGTTTTGCGGAAATTAACTAATTTATTTTTTAAACTTGTATTCCACAAGAAAGAGAGGCTGAGTGTCAGGGTAGATCTCACCCAGAGCTTCTTTTCTTCTTAGTTGCCCAAGGAGGCAGTTGCAGAGAAGACACAATGGTAGCTGCCAAGCTCACTGCAGAGTCCCAGGTGAGCCTGGAGCCCATCTCCTTCTCTTAATGCCTTTACTACCTTGTGCTTCTTGAAATGTTTCTCCCTCACCATTCCATCTTTACCCCCTTGCTAGGTCCTCCACCCAAGTCCTAGATAGGATGGGAATTTCCTCATCTTTCCCAATGATGCTTATCCCTGTCTAACTTCATATACATGCACACTTAACAACTTCTCCAAATTTATTACTAGTTTGGAAAATTGATTGTGCTTCCCAGATCTTTCCTATTTCCATCTCTTTGGTCACCCCTTCTTCTATTTTCCTAGGGGTTACTGAAAATGGACGATGTAGTCCTGACCCTCTCCCCTGGGTGGACACAGCAGGAGTCATCTCAGATGAACTTCTATAGAGATGAAAAGCAGAACTGTGGCAACGTGGTCTCCCTAGGTAAGACTGAAGAGCACTAATTCTCTCTCCTAAGGTTTCTTGGCGTCCTTTGTGTACTGGAACTTACTAGCCCTGATAGGCTGTTAGATGCTGTTGAACCCATTATGTTTGGATTCCGAACCATATATTTTTGAAACCCTGTTACTAACTCCTTAACCCTTGTGATCTTGCTTTCTTTGCCTTGCCAGTATTCTAGTCAAGGTGAGTACATGGAAGGTGCTCAACAAATGTTAACTGTTGGAGTTTAAAAGTAGAGCACTTGCCTAACATGCATGAGGCTATGGGTTCAGTTCCCAGCACCTTTTAAGAAAAAGTTGATTTCTTCCACTTCCTTTCCTGTTCCTACCCATGCCTGAGGAAAAAGCCAAGGGGACTCTTCTGGAATGTGCCATGGAAGCATAGAGTGTGTGAGTTAGAAGATTAACTGCAGACCCTAACCTTAGAGGTGAGGGTGTAGAGGCACAGAGGGTTATCTGACTCATCAGAGGTCACATAGCTCATTGGTGGCACAGTGGACTCTCCATCTTAGATCTTCCAGGACCAATGTCTATTCTGTTTGGGGACACTGCCTCTTCTTGGGGTGCAATTCAAACTGACCAATTTCTGAGTCTTCATTTTGAGTTCTTATATAAAACTTTAAAAATCCTTTAACTTGTCCAGTTTACTGCATTTTCTGTGCTTAGCCCTTAAGGTATCTAATCCTAGGTGAATGGCCCTACCTTACTATTATTAGAGTTTTGAGGCCCATCCACCCCACTGCTACAGTGTTTTCCCCGCACAGTCCTTGGTTCACACCACCCTCCCTCCACTCCCTCCTTTCCCAGTTGTACGCTTCTTCCAATGGCCCCATCGCCATTCTCAGGTCTCCCCAACACTCATATTGTTACCTTTTATTCCCATCTTTATTCCTGCACCTAAATCCTCATCCTTGGCATGCAGTCCTCTGCATTTCTTACCTCCTTGCTATTCATCACAGAGCTTTCCTCATATGTAGGGCAAAATTGACAGTCATTGGCCATTTGTTGTTTCAGGTGGTGAAATGCAGTCTAAGACCAGGGGTTTGACTCCAGCTGAACTTCCTGAGCAAGAGCCTGAGCAGATGTCATGCCACCTAGGTGAAGACATTGCCGAGATTCCTACATGTACAGAAGCTGGTGAACAGGAGGCCAGGTTACAAAGAAAGCAGAAGAGTACCACAGGGAGTAGGCGGCACATTTGCCATCAATGTGGAAAGAGTTTTGCTCAGAGTTCAGGCCTAAGTAAGCACAAGCGAATCCACACTGGAGAGAAACCCTATGAGTGTGAAGAGTGTGGCAAAGCCTTTATTGGGAGCTCCGCCCTCGTCATTCATCAGAGAGTTCACACTGGTGAGAAGCCCTATGAGTGTGAAGAATGTGGCAAGGCCTTCAGTCACAGCTCAGACCTTATCAAACACCAGAGAACCCACACTGGGGAGAAGCCCTACGAGTGTGATGACTGTGGGAAAACTTTCAGCCAGAGCTGCAGCCTCCTTGAACATCACAGAATTCACACTGGGGAGAAGCCATACCAGTGCAACATGTGTGGCAAAGCCTTTAGGCGTAATTCCCATCTCCTAAGACATCAGAGGATCCACACTGTGGATAAAAATGTTCAGGAGCCTGACTGGGAAGGTCAGGGTAGAATGGAAAACCAATGGGAAAATACTGAAACTCCTGTGTCTTATAAATGTAATGAGTGTGAGAGAAGTTTCACTCAAAATACAGGTCTTATTGAACATCTAAAAATCCACACTGGTGAGAAACCCTACCAGTGTCATGCGTGTGGAAAAGGCTTCACCAGAACTTCATACCTGGTTCAACATCAGAGAAGCCACATAGGGAAAAAAAATTTGTCACAGTGACCCATGCCATACATACCAGGGTTGGTGCTATTTTGTCATTGAACTGAAGCCACCCTGGACCCCTTACCGGCTACAAATGCTATGAGCTGGGGCCTTACCAATACACACCAACAGGTGTTAGAATATATAGAGTCTGGCTGAGATAGAGTATCTTCTACATTCCATAAGGTGACTAGAAAAATACTTATCTTCCATCGGAAACTATGGGAGAGTTGTCTGGAAGAGGAAGGACCAGAATTGGAATTAAATATGCTTCCAGAGTGGCTAATTGCCTTCAGCCAGCACTTGATGTCTATGGGGTAGATGGCTGTGATTTGGAGGCTGGTACACTGATCATTCTTTTTGATTATAATGAACCCACCACTGTTGATCAAATTCATGAAGTCTTACATCCCCCCTTCTATGCCTTGTACACAGATGCTATACACATTCATTAGATGTACCAGTGAGATTTCCTACAGGTAAGCTGCACAAACTGTATCCTCACTAAGTTCACACTCCAGGCCAGTGATTCACAGCAAATAGTTAAACCAAGTATTACTTTTGGCCTCAAACTCTATTAATTAATGTGCAGCAGTCTTGATCTTGATTCCTGTATCACCTGTGTGATAACAGCTCCTTAATTATTCACAATGAGAATTTAAGCCATTAAATTTTCTCTTCTGGCTACCTATTTCCTTTAAACATACTTTATAGACCATCTTTTTTCTTTTTTTCCTCATAATTGTGAAAATTTCAGTCTTGTGGATTCGAGAAAACTTTTTTTAGTCAGCACTTTTTTTTTTACAAGGAGTAATTGTGTATCTTTCAAATAGTTGTTTCTACAAAAGTTTCAGGATGTCAGGCAGAGAGTCTGGCTCAAGTGGTAGAACACCTGCCTAGCAAGCACAAGACCCTGAGTTCAAATCCCAATACAGCCAAAAAAAAGTTTCAGGGCCACTGGCTTCTTACAAACTTTGTTAGTCTATCCTTCTTTTTTAGAAATATGCTTTCATTTTTGCATATACTCACCCTTCTCACTTGGTTTTGGCACCAGCAATCTTCTATATTTATAATACCAGCATAAGACTCTGGAATTTGGAGATAGCAAACTTTTCTGTTCATATTTCACAGCAGTTTTGTTGTGACATTCTCTCCTCCTATATGTATATTTATTAGGAATTGAGGTGTCATCCAAAATCCTTAGTAGATTTCTCCAAGTCATTTTTTTAAACAGTTTCCAGAGCTTGGTACTTCAAGGTTTTCAGGGATCTAGAAAATCTGACAAATCTTAATGTAAATTATTTGTATTACAGTGTTAAAACATTATTTTGCTGTATGAATTAAGATGAAAAAATTCATCTTATGATTTCTAAACTTTCTGAACATACATTAAGATTCTGCAGATTAACAAAATCAGAATGTATGTGAATATAAATATATGTGTTGGGGATCTATTTAAGGAATTGGTTCATGTGAGTATGAAGGCTCAGAAATCCCAAGTTCTGCATTTTGTAAGCTAGAGACCCAGGAGGGAGCTAATGGTGTGAGTTTCAGTCCAAAAACCAACAGGTTTGAAACCCAAGAAGAGCGAATGTTTCAATTTGAGCCTGAAGGCTAGGAAAGGCTAATATCCCAGACCAAGACAATTAGGTAGAAAGAGTATCCGTTATTTGAGGGCAAGTCAGATGTGTTCAGGCCTTCAACTGACTGGATGAGGGAGGGGGCAATCTGCTTTACTGAATCTACTGATTCAAATATTAATCTCTAAAAACACTTTCATAAATGAAAAAACAAAACACCTCACAGGCATACTAAGGATAATGTTTGGCATCCCGTGGCTCGGCAAAGTTGACACATAAAATTAACCATCAGAATACTGTAGTTCAGGTACTAAATCATTAAAACTTTTAATCTGGTCCCACCTTTTGATCTCTAGGTTTTTCATTTAGCAATAGTAGTCTGGGAAGGATGTTTGCAGCCTCTCTGCTTATAGATCAGCATAGAGAGGGATGGCATGAGGCTGAGAGGTAAGAAATAAATGATTGGCTTACCAGTATCCAGAGTACCCTCAGCATCTAGCAGAGTTCCTGTTGAGTGAATAATTTTAAAAACTCGCTGATTCACTTGTTTTTTGTATTAATCTAAAATCCCGGGTACTTACTGCTACAGACCAAAGCATTTGACATTCCTGTTTTCGGAAATAAAAGTTCACTATTTCTAAACAAGTTGTCTTTTCAACCATTCATTCGGTAAACATGATCATGATAGGTCAGGTGCTAATGTTCTTTCCCTTGAGGGGCATGATAACTAACTGCTCTCCTGACTTTTTAACCTAAGGTATGTTATCCATGCTTGTACTCATTTCGTCAACCTAACAGTCCTTCAGGGGAATGACTGCATCATGGCTGCCCGGCAATTGCATGTCTCCACATAGACCAGGACTTAACACAGCTGCTCCAAGTCCTGTCATCCACCTTGAACCTAAGTGCACAGTTTCGTGAGGACCATTTCCCACTTAGCAATCTATCTACCATGGAGGCTGCCATGACTTACTTTCCTTGAGGAATAAGGCTTTCTAACACTCCCCATTTAAAATGCCACAAGCTTATAAAACTGTCTGCAGTATGGTATGAACACTTCACCAAAAGAATGGCCCACTCTAGTGATACAGCATTATGGCCTCTTGGTGTCATCCTGTGGGAAAAGGGACCAAAGGAGCTTGCACATCTTGTACTCTTGATTTTGCTTTCTATATAAATTTAAAAACTGTTTCCGGTTCTTTTCTGTCAGCCCTTTCCCAACAAATTTAGTGTCAAACATGGAGTTAGTAATGTCATAAAATGCCCTTTTAGAAGACAGATACAGTCATGCAGGACAGGGATGTGATGACTTCCTGAGATTTGGTAGTTCTTGCCTAAGTGGTGGGTAAGAGGGGAGGAGTGTCTTCCATTATTGCACCTATAATGGTAGGTTAACAGGATAGGGATTAATTCTCCATGATCCAATAACATGCTACCCACTGATGAAAGCTTGGAGGTAAGTCACTGCAGGTCGGATTAAATCTAGTTACCTTAGCTTTTAATGAGTTTGTTGAGGCTGAGTGGACAGCTAGCATTTTTTTTTAATCTTACTTTTAAGACAAAGTCTCATCTTGAACTTGAGATCCTCTTGCTTCAGCCCCGCATGTGCTATAATTACAGTAGTGCACCATTACCCTCGGCTTGCTACTAAAAATTAAGCATCAGTGCAAACCTGTGTTTACAGGTGTGGAAGTGGTATTTCCATGCTCGTTGATCTTCTCCCTGTCCTACATCCTAACCACAGTTTTAAAAACGATGGTGCTCTAGTCAATTTTGCAGGATAGACTCTTCCACATCACTCCTACAATCCTTGAGCTATTCCACTCAGGATGTAAGTCATCTCTTTGTCTAGCATATCACACTACTGCATACACACTACCCTCTTGTTGAAAACTCATAGCCAAAGTATTGACCAAAATTATGGTAAAAGTGGTGAGAATGGACATATTTTCCTTGGTCCTAATCTTTTGGGAAAAGCCCTTCCACAAAGGAGTATGAAGTCAGCTGTAGGTGCTCTGTAGATGGTCTTTATGAAGTTGGGGGCGTTCTCAAAATTTCTAGTGAACTGAAAGTTTTTGTCACAAGTGAGTGTTGGATTTTGTCCAGTGCTTTTCCTATGCCAATTACATGATCAATATTTATTCTGTAGTCTGTTAATACGATGGAAAAATAATTTTTTAATGTTGAAAGTCCCACATATTAGAATAACTCTCACTTAGGCATGATGTCTATTTTTATGACAACCTAAGTTCAACTTGGTAATATTTTGTGGAGAGTTTTTGCATTTAATGATGAATACTGGATTGTAGATTTTTTATTTCATACTGCCTTTGTCTCTTTACAGTATTAGGTTAATCCTAGCTTTATAAAATGAGCTGGGAAGCTCTTCTATTCTCTGGACAAGATTATGTAAAAATTGGTGTTAAGTCTTCCACACATATTTGGTAGAATTGTCTAATGAGGACCTCTAAGAAGAATTTTTTAATTATGAATTCAACTTAATAGTCAAAAGAACATTCTGATTATGTGTTTCATTTTGGTTTCTGTGCTTGCTGAAGAATTGGTCCCTTTCTTCTAAGCTGTCAAACTGATGGGCATAAAGTTGTTAACAATCTGCCCTTATGATCCTTCTAATAGATGCAGGATTTGTAGTGATATCCCTGGCCTCATTTCTGTATTAGAAAATATTTTTGTCTTGTCAGTCTTGCTAGTTTGTTTTACTGATATTTTGGAGACAGCTTTTTGTTTCATTGATTTTCAGATGTTTTCCTGTTCTCAATTTCATTGATTTTTTTTTTCTTGTTATCTTATGTCCTTCTTTTTGCTTTCTTGGTTTGTCTCTTGATCTTTTACACTTTTGAGGCAGGAACTTATTACAGACTATTCTTTTCTAATATCAATATTCAATATTCTTATTTTCCCTCTGCATTCTTTAGCAGTGACTGACCTATTATAATAGGTTTACACTTTAATTCCACTTTATGTTTAAATTTTTTTCCTTTGAGATTTCTTCCTTGAAATGTAAAAGAAAGAAGAAAATTACTTAGAAGAGTTTTTTGCTTAATTCCCAAATGTTTGGAGATTTTCCTTCTGTCTGTTAAGTTTGGCTCCACTGTGGCTGGATAAAAAATTCTCCATGATTTTAATTGCTAATTTGCTTTGTCTTAATGCCTAGTGTACAGTCCACTTTTGTTACTGTTCCATGGATTTTTTTAAAAGATTAATGTTGTTCAGTTCTTTATTTTTGCTGATTTTATTGCTGGGAGTGGTATGTCAGAGGAAGTCTGCCAAAACAGAATATTTAAATAATATCCAAAGTATCATAATGTCCAGCACACATATTTTTTAAATGCTAAGAGATAAGAAAACAACCACTTGCTCTCCGAAAACTATGAGAATATCAACTCAATAGAGAAAATCATCAACAGAAGCCAACACAAAGAACACAGAGATGCTGGAATTATTTGAAAAGGATTTTAAAGCAATCATAAAAATGCTTCATTGACAATTTAGGAAAATGTTT